TGTTTTACATGATATTGAACTAGTTTATAGGAAACGTGGTGTAGCAGCTTTTGTGTTACCTAGGTAACAGCGAGGTGATCCATCTCTCGGGCGAGGACGACGACGGCCTTGGCGAGGTGGACAGGACGCACATCTTCACCATCAGCGGAGTAACATTCGACAAGGCGATCGTTCGCCGAGACAACTTCTGGGACGTCGCTGGCGATGACATGGTCTACAAGAATAACAGCAACGACTCCAAGTGGAAGTGAGTAGTTCGCTAATACAAAACAAGGATGCACACCCTCCTGAAACATATATTTGCCCAAACTTTACCTTATATGAACAATAACATACTGTTCAAATAGACACTGGATCCGAATTCGCGATCAGAGAATTCTGCTCTAACATAAGTGGACTGTTCCGACATTTGTCCAGGAAGGGAAGGTGGCTGGAAGGGGAGGGGGGCGAAGTAACAGGGAGGCAAAGTGGACGAGCTAGTAAGCGAAAGGTGCCTGGATCGCTCCCCACTTGTGACCGGGTGTAAAACCTTGGAGCTAACATTACTTTGCAGGCTCTTTCAGTGTTGTCACAACCCCAGTGTGCAGTACACAACCCACTCATCCGACGGTAGGTGACCAGATGGTAGACACACGAACACGTGCAGACACCTAGTTGACCGGGTTTAGTAACGTGGAATATCATTGAACAAAATACTGTGTTGATGTGTCCCAGTGAATGGTTGTATGACATGATGAGGTTGTATGAAAACTCGCTGCGCCTATCAGGCGGCATGAATGGGAATACCCCCAGGGGAGTTGAGTTGGTTAAATAGAAGTTGCGTGGATATTTGCGCTATGTAAATATCCTAAAATAACTCCTGTTGGAGACGTTATTTACCATTTTTACAAGATCATTCCTACACAATTCTGATGACAATGGAGCTTTATATTGCTTATTTTAACATCTGCAACATGGACTTTTTTCAAATCAAATCAGATAATTACCAACCCTTTGAATTTTCATATGAACTGCTACGAAATTTATTGCTTTTTATTCATTGAAGGCTTGAAAATAAATCTTTTAACGTTTATTGTTTTATTCATGACTATGTTTCCAGGTCTTTACCCCCGTCTCAGATTGTAGAAAGAGCCTTGTCCAAGATCGGCCGTGTGGGTTACAACCTCATCTTCAGCAACTGTGAGCATTTTGTGAAATGGTGCCGATACAATATGGAACGAAGTGACCAGGTAGGTGTTTATTGTTCACGATTTGCATATCTAAGATGAATTATATGTCCTCTTTGATTGTAAATTATATAATGATGCTAGAAAAAAGTTTATTACTCCACTTTTGTAGAATACTGTCAGCAAACAAACAGATAGAAATATTGTCATAAATGTTTGTAATATTTTGAAATGTGTAGTACATAAAACTAGAGCTGTAATTGTCAAAGCATAAACCTGTAACCTTCTATGTGCGCTTGTTTCAACTTAATAATTTATTTGTATTATGGGCCTTTGGTCTTTACACTGTATAAAATGTCTGTATGTCTGTCTGTCTGTTTGTTTGTCTGGTTTTGCATATTTTCATAGATTTCATATTTTAAATTGATTGTTCTGGCTTCAACTTCGTTATCAAACATAGAGTCGTGGTCGAGGGTGGATGAAGCCCACTGACTCAAAGGATGTGACGGAGCGTCAGCCAGGCGTTTCAAATTCGAAAGTTTGAGAAGAAAATCGAACTACCAGAGAATAATCGAAGTAACGAGAAATACTAGAATTTTCTCTGATCGCAATTTTCGCAAGAGTGAGTGTGGTTTAACGTCGGTTTTAGCAATATTCCAGCAATGTCTCGACGGGGACATCAGAAATGGGCTTCACACATTGTACCCAGGTCGTCGGTGTGGCGAGCGAACGCTTTAACCACTAGGCCACCATACCGCTCCGTTTTTGAAAGAAACTTAACCTGGTTTGTGAAACCTGGCTTGTTATAAGCGTGTTTGTTATATATGAAATTTCTATGATCTGTATCTGATCCTCCCTTTCAGGTGGAGAGTTATGCCACAGGCCTTGCTGTGGGAGGGGCTATTGCGGCCGTGGTGGGTGTGGTCGCCTGGCTGGGGAGCGGCTCAAAGGACCAGACAAAGGAGAGAAAGTCCCAGCACTGATTACTTCAAGCATCGCATTCTGTCATCCCGGATCCATGAGATTACTGATAATGAATAACTTGGTTACATTCGTAATAAATGGGATACACACAGACCAATTAACAATACTTAAATTATTACACAATGCCATTTAGAGAGTGGTCAGATGTAATATATGTTATATTTGGGATTACACTTTCTTAATAAAGTACAGATTCTAGTACTTTTGTTTGGTTGAGTCCCATCCTGGATTCGAACCCACACCCTCAGAGTCAGGCACCTAATCGCCAGCACACAAAGTCAGCCGCCTAACCTACTCCAGGGCCCCTATTCTCGAAAGTGTCCCAGCTAAGACAGATCCTAAGTAGTTAAGACAGAAGTTAGGACATCCTACCGTAAGGATAAGACCCATTCTCGAAATGATCCTATCCCTGTCCTAACTTGTGCTACCTATCCTAGCTAGGATAGCGAGCTCTTCAGTAGGTGAGATAGAAAAACCTTCATTTAGTTGGGGATTCCCCTAAATAATACCCATGATTCGTGGCATAAAAAAACACATAATATAAGGAAATTCAGCTTTTGATGGACTTAGTAGATCTAGAAGAAATTATTCGATATTTTCATCACATTATAGTAATTGGAAAATTCATTTTTTGACAAGGCGATAACAATTTTACTTCAGAATTTGAAAGTCTGCCAAAAAGAAATAAGGATATTAAAGATATGTGTAAAAACATATTTTCATTGTATTTGTTTTTTATGAAAATCATGACTTGAACTCTCATTATGCGTCATCTCACAAACTGAAAAATTCACCTAGGAAATAAACAGGAGTTACTTCCCCTATCAAGTTGGCCTTGACATTGACATTTCACGTGAATGTGACTGAAAAGAGCAATGTTGTGATTAAAAAGGCCGAGAATAGGTAAGAATTGAACAAATCTCTTTTGTAGATCTAAAGAATGCGTGCATTGCAACAAGTGTGTCTATTCATTACCGATTAATTGATAATATGAACTGAAGAAACTCTTCATAACTCATCAAAACTGTGTGCTGTTGTAAATTCAAATGTAAGTTTGACGAGTTATTTTGTTTGACGTCAAAATTGGTGAACAAACAAGTACCACTCTATGTTGACTTCCACTAAGATAGACTTAGGACACGTCAGAACCTATCCTAGTATTTGTCCTAAGTTAGGACATCCTAGCGCTAGGATACTTTTCGAGAATAAGGTAGGACACCTATCCTAGACCCTAGGATCAAAGTTAGGACATCCTTGGGCTAGGATCCTTTCGAGAATAGGGGCCCTGTTCTGGACGTTGATGGTATTGGTACTGGAAGTTTATGGTATTGGTTGTGGACGTTGATGGTACTGGTACTTGACGTTGGTGGTATTGGTTCTGGACGTTGATGGTATTGGTTGTGGACGTTGATGGTATTGGTACTGGACGTTGATGGTATTGGTTCTGGACGTTGATGGTACTGGTACTAGACGTTGATGGTATTGGTTGTGGACGTTGATGGTATTGGTACTGGACGTTGATGGTATTGGTTCTGGACGTTGATGGTATTGGTACTAGACGTTGATGGTATTGGTTCTGGACGTTGATGGTATTGGTTCTGGACGTTGATGGTACTGGTACTAGACGTTGATGGTATTGGTTCTGGACGTTGATGGTATTGGTTCTGGACGTTGATGGTATTGGTTGTGGACGTTGATGGTATTGGTACTGGACGTTGATGGTACTGGTACTAGACGTTGATGGTATTGGTTCTGATCGTAACTCCCATACTTTAACATAGACATACGACATCCTAGCGCTAGGATACTTTTCGAGAATAAGGTAGGACACCTATCCTAGACCCTAGGATCAAAGTTAGGACATCCTTGGGCTAGGATCCTTTCGAGAATAGGGGCCCAGGAACATTACAACCGGGAAAACGTGGAAGAGTGAGTGAGTTAAATGTTAGGCCTCTTTTAGCAATATTCCAGCAATATCACGGCGGGCGACACCAGAAATGGGCATCACGTATTATATCTCTCGAACCCGGGTTTTCAGCGGACAAGCACTTTAACCATTAGGTTACCAGCCGCTCCAGAACGTGGAAAAATTATACTAGTCCAGACTAGCCGTATTTAACATACCGTGATTACTTTTCATACCCACCCGCATGGTATTGGTTCTTGACGTTGATGGTATTGGTACTGGACGTTGGTGGTATTGGTTCTTGACGTTGATGGTATTGATACCGGACGTTGGTATTGGTTCTGGACGTTGATGGTATTGGTTCTGGACGTTGATGGAATTGGTGCTGGACGTTGACGGTATTGGTTCTGGACCTTGATGGTACTGGTTCTGGACGTTAATGGTATTGGTTCTGGACGTTGATGGTATTGGTACTGGAAGTTTATGGTATTGGTTCTGGACGTTGATGGTACTGGTTCTGGACGTTGATGGTATTGGTACTGGACGTTGATGGTATTGGGTTCTGGACGTTGATGGTACTGGTACTTGACGTTGATGGTACTGGTACTTGACGTTGATGGTATTGGTTGTGGACGTTGATGGTATTGGTACTGGACGTTGATGGTATTGGTTCTGGATGTTGATGGTACTGGTACTAGACGTTGATGGTATTGGTTGTGGACGTTGATGGTATTGGTACTGGACGTTGATGGTATTGGTTCTGGACGTTTATGGAATTGGTGCTGGACGTTGATGGTATTGGTTGTGGACGTTGATCGAATTGGTGCTGGACGTTAATGGTATTGGTTCTGGACGTTGATGGTATTGGTTCTGGACGTTGATGGTATTGGGTTCTGGACGTTGATGGTACTGGTACTTGACGTTGATGGTATTGGTTCTGGACGTTGATGGTATTGGTTGTGGACGTTGATGGTATTGGTACTGGACGTTGATGGTATTGGTTCTGGACGTTGATGGTACTGGTACTAGACGTTGATGGTATTGGTTGTGGACGTTGATGGTATAGGCTGTATTCACGCCCGCCATGTTTTCAACTCAGAACGAGGCTTGGTGCACAAACAATGGCGGCCCTGCATTGCTGTGTACCGATGTGCACTAATGATTCTCGTTATGACACCGAGGGACAGCTGTCTTTTCACAGAATCCCTGCTGAAAAAAACTTAAGAAAAGAATGGCTTGTTAAGATAAGAAGAGATGTCGGACCATATTTCAAGGTAAATATCAATTCTTTCAACATGTGCGATTGTTTCCGAGCAGCTAAAATACTTTTACTCACTTTGCAATACTTATCCCAAAGTAATATTTTTTTATGAATATGAGATACCCAATTCGGAATATCGGCTCTATTGGAAATGCGTTGAAAGGGCGATCAGCCTTGCAGTTTTTAGAGAATTAAACACAATTAAGGACAAATTATAGGGTTACAAGTCGAACATGATTGTAGCATATGTGTGTACACAGTAATATTTAATAAAAAATAATCAAGTTAGTGTTTACAACAACCACTAAGGAATGGTTTTGTAGCTGCTCAATGACCCAGAAAGTAATCCCAGCCAATATTGGAGAAGAATTCTCCTCCACCTCAAGCTCTTTTGTGTTACATGATAATAACAGTTTATGCCATCTTTCAGTACATCAAAGATTGGGTTTAACATTAGTGACGGTAGTGATCACACACATAATTTTATCATTACAAGTAATCTGATTATAAGACAATGCATATAATAGATCTATACACCTATCATATTTTCAGCTTTCTGACAAAACAAGGGTCTGCTCATCTCATTTCAAGGCAGGTGATATTCGTCGTACTTTAATAGGAAAGAGAACGCTACTACCAGGATCAGTTCCTAGCCTCTTTCCATGGACACAGAGATCCCCATCAAAACGGATAGGTCCACAAAGAAGATCATTGAAGTTAGTATTGGCTTGTGATTGCTTTCTTGAGATTATTGTGCAATGTAATCACTATTTTGAGACAGCAATTTTATGATACATATACATGCTTTTTCTTGAGACTTTGGTAGAAAATTCACATTATGTAATTCTAATAATGAAACAACTGACCCTAAGAGTAAAGTATACAAATAATTGATAAACAATTTTCTTTTTCTCAAAATATGCACAGAATTTTCCAGTGACAGATGGTGACTTTATATTGTTTAAAATTTGTTTCAGGAAGATTGATCCTGAGCCAATAGAAATTCAGGTTGCTGGAGAAATGCCATGTTCACATGATGAAGTACCCTTAGCTTCCATGGATCATGACTACACCATAACCCCTCAGCCAATTGATGAACAACTTGCAGCTGCACATGCAGAATTGAAAGTACTTAAGCAGCAACTACTTGAGACAAGTCAAAAGCTGTTTTTCTTGGAGCGTTTCAGCAATGATCCTCAGAATATTAATTTCTACACAGGTATCACACACTTTCATTGTATCACCTATAATTCTTGCACAGACTCTTACCTAAAGCCATTTCTGGTGTCCCCCCGCCGTGATGTTGCTGGAATATTGCTAAAAGCTGTGTAAAACCAAACTCAGTCAGTCTTATCTGTAGCCACCATTTTTTCATATATTTTGTATTTAATAATGTGAACACATTTTTTAATAATTTATTGTATATTGCATAATTGCATTTTACATGTAAAAAAAACCCTGGGACAACCAACGGTTAACTGATCACGGAGTAGGCTGAACAGTGTTGGATTAACAAGCTATTGAAGTATATTTCAATCTTCAAAAAAATTCCAAAAATATAATAATTAATATATATTATCTTTCCTCACACAGGTTTTAAAGACTATGCAACTCTCAAGAGTGTCTTCGTAGCCCTACAGCCCACAGCTACTACCATGATTAGGTGGACGCAGATGCAGAGACATTCATCAAACATGGATAAATTGAAAACAAGTGCATTCCATAACGAATCACTGCCCTTGATAGATCAGTTTTTTTATGTTTTTATGTAGAGTGCATCAAGGACTACTTGAACGTGATCTGGCAGTTAGGTTCAATTTGTCTCAATCATCAGTCAGTAGGATATTAATCACTTGGGCCAACTACCTGTATGTGATGCTAGGAAGTATCAAGATTTGGCCAACTCGTTCAATAATTGACAGTAACATGCCAAGAGATTTCAAACTTTGGTATCCCAAGACACGGGTCATCATAGATTGTACAGAGGTGAAGGTGCAGACTCCTAGTTCCAGAGTATTGAACTCAGAGGTTTATTCCTCGTACAAGAGCCACACAACGTTTAAGGGTCTGATAGGTATTACACCCTGTGGAGTTTTATCGTTTGTTAGTACTTTATATACCGGTGCAATTTCTGATAAGGAAATCACAAGTAGATGTGGCATTGTGGATCTTCTGGAGCCAGGTGATGAGGTAATGGCTGATAAAGGATTTTTGATACAGGATTTATTGGAGAAAAAAAAACAAGCAAGTTTAGTGATCCCCCCATTTCTTGACCATAAAGGACAGTTCAGTGGAGAAGAGGTGTCAGAAACCCAAGAAATTGCACGTTTAAGAATCCATGTGGAAAGAGCAATCAGGCGTATAAAAGAATATCATATATTTGATGGAGTTGTTCCTCTCACCCTAGCATCATCAATCAATCAGATATGGACAGTTTGTTCAATTCTTACAAATTTTCGAGGACCATTATTTTAAGTGAAATTGTAACTGTTGAGTATGGTAAATTTTCTAATTATGAACATGATGATACATGATGCATGGCAACGTACATGTTTTCGCCAGCTCCTAATGACTCTGTGGATATTAATAGTAAGGATGTAGTATCAAATCATTTGAATTGTGATAAAAATAAACGTCTGAGAACAATTTTGTGAAAGAACTGGTATGAGGGTAAAATGTACAAAATACTAAAATCATGGTGCTTCGAAGAGGTGGTCCTTTAAATAACTTATGAGAATTGGTATTTTAAAGGCCAAAAAAATTGATGTTGTTAACAACTATAGATACCTTTGGGGTGGTTTTCACACCAACCTTGTCATGGTCAAAAGAACAAAGCTGTTCAGCAGCCCAGGCATACAAGGCTCTGATGTCCTTATTTAGCTATCAGAGAAAATATGGTTTTGTTTCTTGTACTGATGCCTTTACAATATCTCATAAAATGCTTGTTCCAATTTTTTGTTATGGAGCTGACTTTTGGGGTACACACTATTGTAAAACCATCGAAAGAGTACACACCAGTTTTTGTAAGAGGATATTAAGGCTACATAAGAATATGTGTGATGTTATGGCACTTGGTGAATGTGGTAGAGTACCACTCCAATGCAATTATATGTTAAAACCAACAAAGTATTGGTGTAGAATAATCCAATTAGATGACCTTATCAGTCTTATTTAATGCTGAAGAATCTAGATGATGTGGGTAGAAAGACCTGGGCGTCTCATGTGAGAAATTTCAGTTTGGCTTTGGAGTACTTTGGACATGACACTGGTAATATTGAAATGTTTACTGCTCTTTTAAACAAAGATTATTTGATTCCTTGAGTCAAGTGTGGCACTCTATAACTTCACAGTCGAGTAAGTGCCAAACGTATTGTCAATTTAAAACAATGTTACATGTTGAATCTTGTATCTCAAGAGGCATCTAAGAACAGTTATTTGTAAATTCAGGTGCAACAATTTCAGGTTAGCAATCTAAACAGGAAGGCAGTGCATTAACACACTTTTCATAATATTGTAATATGGGCCTTGGCCTAAATACATGAATAAAATTGTCTGTCTGTCTTATTATGAACCTTGTTGGATTTCTGGGAAGTGTCTTCAGACACTAAGCAAGAATATGACCTCGATAACCCCTTGCTTGTTGAAAAAGGCGACTAAACTGGGGATCTTTTGCTTTCACTTTCTTTCTTTTCATGTCTCTTCTCTCTGTGTACACCAAATGTTGATAGAGCTGAAAAATTGCTGAAAGTCATGTAACAATTTCACTCCCAAACTCAGTCTAATCCTGAAACCTTTGTGCAGTGTACTTTTGTGCAGCTCGGAGACGGAGCCTCAGTGACAATGTAGGTGAAACATTGCTGAAAGTCATCTCACATTACTCACCTGTATTTCTCAAGTACACTTATATGTATAAATATATTTTGCCCCCAAAATAAAACAGAATTAACTTACATAAATCAGACATACAATGACTTCCACTTTGTGTTGTGGGTTTTGGTGTCTGACCCTCTAAAGACATGTAAATGATGAGAGACAACTGTTCATTGAATTGGTAGTTAAATTGTTTATTAAATAACTGTAACACACTCTAATAAATCTGCATACTTACAAGTGAAGTTGTGTTTTTCATAAATAACATGTATTAACCCACCACATTATCCATGTAGTATTAAGGTAAGCATGTGAATTCTAGATGCATACTACTCTCAAAGCCCAGACTGTGTCATACCTGAAGACATTAAATAACTGTATCACACTCAAAAGATTTGCATACATACATATGAAGTTGTGTTTTCCATAAGTAAGATTATATGTTAACCCACCACATTATCCCTGTAGTATTAAGTTAGGCATGTGAATTCTAGATGCATTCTACTCTCAAATCCCCAGACTGTGTCATACCTGAAGACAAAAACAGGGATTTACAGGACGATTGACAATTGACGCGACAAAATTTATTAGCTCGTCCACAGGGATGCAGAAAAAAGCCCAAATACTTTTGGTAAAAATTCTAATCAAGTGGCAGTAAGTTATCCCTGAGTTTGCTACTAGCTGGGTTATGGTATTATTTGCAATTTAATTACTGTAACAATGTGATGATCATGATACATATTAGTATTAATACTGTTATTGTATGGTGTAAGTGTTTGGGAGCCCAATTTTGTTGGCCATGACCCCTGAAAATTAAGAGTATGAGTCCCAGGTACCATCAAATACCCAACTTCATGTACATCCCTGTGTAAAAAAGTTGGTATTCCTTCTGCTTTTCAGCTAGATGGTCAGCACTAAGGGGATAAGAGTAGGGACTGCTTGACTCGGAGGCAGTATAATGTGTCGGAGTAGTTGTGAGAAGCTGAAATATCGCTGGTGCGACTTTAAGTACCAAAACAGAGCAAAATAACTCAAAGCAAGACCTGAGTGGCCTATAAGATGAGATGTTGGTGTGACTTGTAATATTATAGTGGTTACATAACCACTAAATCCAAAATTGCGGAATGAAAAGTATTGCTAAAGTGTAATCAATTCCAATTTTGACAGTATATTGCAATATGAAGTCATTTTCATTAAAATGTGCAAAACATCAAAATATTTGTTATATTTTTCAACATCATTCCTTGTTTAGTGAGAAACCATTTCTCCAACATTGCTAAACTGAGAGTATCTCCACATCATCATACTATTTTAATCCTTGACTAGCGATTTCTAGACATCTAACATCATTAGCATGTCTACATATCTATTTAATATTAGACAGTTTAGTACAGACTGCAGGCAATAAATACTCAAAATAAAATTTATCAAGCAAACACTTCATGTCTTGCCATTTTTCATCATCAAATACCACACGTTCCAAATGGAAATCCTCCTCACATTTCACAAAAAAATCACACCAGGTCATTCCAGATAGACCCATTTGTCCTATAACCTGATAATAATATTTATGACTTTTTTTCAGTTTGAAAGTGCCATCTCGAATGTCTTTTCTAAGAAAGTCACAAGCCGAGAAGTTTGTTTTGCTTGGACACTTGATTTCCAATAATCCATGATTAGGGTCTGAAGTGGGGTCATAAACCTTGCGGTCTGGAGAAGTGCCAAGGTGAGGACAACTTGGATTTACAACAAATCCACTCAAGTACACATTGTTGCTGGTAATTTCAGAATACAATTTTGCTGCCTTAGGTTCCTCCTCTGTCCCAAACTTCATAGCTGCTGTCTGGATTGGTTTCAAATTTAGCATACGATCAGCCAGTTTCTCATAATCATTCTTTCTAACACACACACATCTTTAAACACAGATGAAGTAATTCTGTGTTTCCTCACGTCATGCCATGTTCTGTTAAAACTTTGTTCTCGTGTAAGACTTTCAAGTTCTAAACAAAAGGATCTGTCCATGTAAAGACCATGAAAAACATTGTAGCCTGAATAAGTGAGACAGGTTGAATATATGGAAACTTGTTGAGGCAATATGAAATCGGGAAATGTCATTTGGTCCAAGTGGTTGATGATATCTGAGGTCAACTTGACTGGTTTTTGTTGGTATGAGAGCACAGATCCTTGAGGTACTGGACCAAACTTCGAATCAGTCACGATGCATTCTTGGTATGAATGGATGACTTTCAATATCTGTGCACTACTGTTTACTGATGAAAGCTGATTAACCAAGTCATTACAAAATTCTTGGTGAGGTATGGGTGTCACAGGACAGTATACCTTTGGTATTACACCTTCTGTTACCTTTTTCTTCCTCTTCCTTGTTTTCATTTCACTACTTGTTTTAACTTTATTTACAGTTAGTGAATCCACAGCTTGTGGGGTTAGACCCTCAGTCCTTAGTGGTATTTGCCAGGCCTGAGGCAATGAAGTTCTGCTTTGCACAGGTGGAACTGCTCTAAGTCCAAGCTTTTGAAAATGGGAAATAGAAAATAGCAGACCCAAGCAGTGAGAGCACTGTCCCCTTCCGGCCTTGCAATCACATATTGCTCCTGTGACCTGTATTTCTGATGCAGATTCAGGAAGTGTCAGAGAAATCTGAAAGTAAAAATATGATGAATATAAATATTCAGAATTGAAAGGAAAGAAAATTGGTCACAACGAGTTACATCACATTTTTATCAGAAGAATCCAGTTTATTGCATTATTAATTATACATTTTAAAGTTTCATTAATAACTGATGAGCAAAATGTTTCTTAAGTGCTATATTGACATAGAAGAAAACAAAGGAAAATAAAATCCCACCCACCCTAGCCTGTTTTGTTTAAAGTGATGTGAAACAAGACATTATTTTGTTATGGCCTAGGCCCTAATGGTATATAAACGATCACAATATCATCAAGTATTAAGCAGGATCTGCGGAACGGTAAATAATGGTCTATACATCAGGGCTCCAGATAAGGGCCGTATCGGCGTATGTACGGATAGAAAATATGCACGATACGGTAGGAAACAATTTAGAAAACGTAGCAGATACGCACCACAGCAGGTCTTAAAATCATTTACAGACGTATTTTTCTGAAATTGTTTTATTGTTTACTGACCTGTTTACACAAGAGCAGCAATGTTGTGGTGCATATATAAAACAAAACACAAGATTACTGATACGCCATTATTTTCCATTCAGTACTCAAAATGTACTCTTAAGTTTATCCAGTACTCCTATATTGAAAAAAATAAGGAGTACGTACTCCTGATGTTGAAAAATTATCTGGAGCCCTGATACATGCATTAATGATAATAAAGAAATAACTGTTGACGTCTTGGCCAATTTTTTTTTGTGGACGCTCTGGTCAGTAGCCGTTTTATAAATAACACAAACTATTAAACCGAAAAAATTGACAATGCATGAATAACAACAAGCATACGAAAAGCATTCATGCCAACAAGAACATGAAGAACTTAAACTCGTATCCAAACCATTAGCTTGTATGGCGGATCATTTTTCTTCACGGAGGGGAAGCTTTTCCCCCTTATTTGACATTGATTGCTCATGGAGTCAAATTTAGCTGCAAAAAATGTAAAATCTTGCAAAAAAAGCTTTTATTATAGTACATTATTAATTACAAGACATACCAGAGAAAATATAGATAACCCAGATCTGTCCTAAATGTAACCAAGCTGACTACACCATGCACACTGGCCAGCATACCAAACTACTGCTCGAAAACTGGACTATCTACTTAAGAAAAAGAACATTTTTTTTACTTACCTTCTATGTCGTGAATGTAGCCCTCCACAAATAACCCATATCCTTTTTTCTGCTTCCGTCTGGGTATCCTACATGTATTATTAGCCCACCGATCAATAAATTCTTGGGAAATAACTGGAACACTTTCGAGATTCTTCGACCAAGCCATCCTCACCGCTTGCGGACCAAGCCTCGTTTTCAGTTTCAAAATGGCCGCGGCGTGAATTTAGAGTATTGGTACTGGACGTTGATGGTATTGGTTCTGGACGTTGATGGTATTGGTACTAGACGTTGATGGTATTGGTTCTGGACGTTGATGGTATTGGTTCTGGACGTTGATGGTACTGGTACTAGACGTTGATGGTATTGGTTGTGGACGTTGATGGTATTGGTTCTGGACGTTGATGGTATTGGTTGTGGACGTTGATGGTATTGGTACTGGACGTTGATGGTACTGGTACTAGACGTTGAGGGTATTGGTTCTGATCGTAACTCCCATACTTTAACATAGACATACGACATGCATAGGGCTAAGGTGATCGTAACTCCCATACATTAACATAGACTTACGACAATGATGGGGCTAAGGTGATCGTAGCTCCCATATTTTAACATAGACTTACGACATTCATAGGGCGAAGGTGACCGTAACTCCCATACTTTCACCTAGACTTACGACAATGATGGGGCTAAGGTGATCGTAACTCCCATACTTTAACGTCGACATACGACATTCATAGGGCTAAGGTGATCGTAACTCCCATACTTTAACATAGACTTACGACAATGATGGGGCTAAGGTGATCGTAACTCCCATACTTGAACATAGACTTACGACAATCATAGGGCTAGGGCGATCGTAACTCCCATACTTTAACATAGACCTACGACAATAATAGGGCTAAGGTGATCGTAAGTCCCATACTTTAACATAGACTTACGGCAATAATAGGGCTAAAGTGACCGTATCTCCCATCCTTCAACATAGACTTACGACAATAATAGGGCTAAGGTGATCGTAACTCCCATACCTTAACATAGACTTACGACATTCATAGGGCTAAGGTGATCGTAACTCCCAAACTTTAACGTCGACATACGGCATTCATAGGGCTAAGGTGATCGTAACTCCCATACTTTAACATAGACTTACGACAATGATGGGGCTAAGGTGATCGTAACTCCCATACTTTAACATAGACTTACGACATTCATAGGGCTAAGGCGATCGTAACTCCCATACTTTAACATAGACCTACGACAATAATAGGGCTAAGGTGATCGTAACTCCCATACTTTAACATAGACTTACGACAATAATAGGGCTAAAGTGACCGTATCTCGCATCCTTCAACATAGACTTACGACAATAATAGGGCTAAAGTGATCGTAACTCCCATACTTTAACATAGACTTACGACATTCATAGGGCTAAGGTGATCGTAAATCCCACACTTTAACGTCGACATACGACATTCATAGGGCTAAGGTGATCGTAACTCCCATACTTTAACGTCGACATACGACAGTCGTAGATCTACGATCGCTTTGTGGAACAAGGTCCTGATCTATGTTGATTCATGCGATGAGATGGGTCGCACTGGGTCGTAAAATCAGGGGTCAATAACAATGATAATAATAATATGTCCTTGTTTACAAAGACTAACTTTCAACTTCAAAGCATTCCAGGTTCCTGTTTAACCCAATAAGTTTTTTAGCAGGGATTTCATGGCTTTGTATAAATTTTGTTCTTAAAATACTTACATGTGTACTTGCCATCTACTGGAATATACAAGTATATACAACATACAAGTATATACAATATACAAGTATATACAACATACAAGTATATAAATATACAAGTATATACAACATACAAGTATATACAATATACAAGTATATACAACATACAAGTATATAAATATACAAGTATATACAATATACAAGTATATACAACATACAAGTATATAAATATACAAGTATGTACAACATACAAGTATATACAACATACAAGTAAATAAATATACAAGTATATACAACATACAAGTATATACAATATACAAGTATATACAACATACAAGTATATAAATATACAAGTATATACAACATACAAGTATATACAATATACAAGTATATACAACATACAAGTTTCCTCAGATATATTGTACAGCAGTTATTTCTCGAGAGCTTCGTCTATACGCACATGTTGTCAATAATGGTTGTAGTGATCAATCTGAATAAACATTTCCTAAATGCCGTGCGTTGTCGGAGTTCATCTATGTGTATTCTATACTACTGAGGGGCGGTGGGGTAGCCTGATGGTTAAAGCGTTCGCTCGTCACGCCGAAGACCCGGGTTCGATTCCCCACATGGGTACATTGTGTGAAGCTCATTTCTGGTGTCCCCCGCCGTGATATTGCTGGAATATTGCTAAAAGCGGCGTTAAACCAAACTCACTCACTCACTCACTCACTATACTACTGATGTAATCTATACTACTTTTTCTATATGACTATCCTGCTTCAGTACAAGTTAATGCTGTTTCAGTGTATGAGGGAGCAAGAGTAGTGTGTCTGGATGGAGACCATTGTCAGAACAATATTTATAGTTGCTGATTTCCAAATGGATACAGTGTATGGTAGTTATGGACATTGCAATCAATTTAATTGTCAGAGATGAACACGCGGATATAAGTGAAATACCTGTTCAATATTAACGCCCAAATCAAGAAGATATAAAAGAACTGGTTGAATAGTACCAATAAGTAAACTATCAGAGACAGAGAGGATATAAAACATCTGGAAAGGATAAACAAGTCTTCACGATGATCTCAGTCATCTTGTTCTTCGGGTTCTTGTTCTTCTTTGAAGAATATACTATAGCAGAAGAGGAAATGATTATAAATATTTCTAATCCCTGGGTCGAGTGGCCAAGTGGTTCAAGTGTTTGGTTGTTACCCGGAAGACCTACAAGAGTACATTATTATAAGTGCATTTCTGGTATCCACGGTCATGATATTGGTGGAATATTGCTGGACGCAGTGTAATACTCACGCCTTATTCTCTGACGCAAACGGGGACGTGGTTCATGGCTCCCTTCACCAAGATAACCATATGTTCTTTTTCACATGACATAAGCAATTGGAAATGATAGTATAGTATGACCAGAAATTATTGAGAATTTTAGGAATATGTTTAATTGGATTTCTAGTATAAACAACCTTGACCAGCTATAAAGTGCTTGGTTTCATTCAAGAGAGACAACTCCGTTCATCCTTTTTCATTAGTTTATGAAGAGTTATCCCCCTTTGTTTACTTGCTCGCAGACGACATTTTCAGTGATCCTCAGCTAAAGTGATTTCAAGTAGAATAGGCATCCCTTTGTCCACTGTTTATCGTGTTTTGAAAAGTATTGCAAATGGATATGGCATTGAGCACCAGGGAGGCGCAGGTAGGCCCAGAAAATTGACTGTCGGTGACAGGCGGCGGCTTGGTATTCTTGTTTCTAAAAACAAAGAAGGACTTAAGGCTCGATATGATTGATAGAGGAACTGTAGCTGTCTGTAAGGAGACATTTAGAACTGAGCTGCATGCAATGGGTTGGCAGAATAGTCGAGGAATTCCATCACCGATCATGAAACGAGAACAAAAGGAGCGAAGGTTGAACTGGTGCTTACAGCATAGAAATTTTCAGTGGGACAATGTGATTTTCTCAAATGAAAGTTCTGTGGTGGCTGTTTCCTAATGCACTGAAATTCTGGACCAAACAAACTGAAAAATCTCTGCATCAGCGCCCAAAGAACAGTCGGAAATTTAACGTGTGGGGTGGCATATCTGCGTTAGGGGCAACGCCCCTCTGTGTATTTGAAGGGAATATGAACAGTGAGCGGTACACAGACATTCTCGAGGGACATTTACTTCCATCTGCTCACATGTTCTATGGAAATGTTTGGATTTTCCAGCAGGACAACGACCCAAAACATCGTTCAAAGCATTCACAGGCCTGGCTTCGGACCCAAAATATGACATTATTAGATTGCCCAAGCTATAGCCCTGATCTAAATCCAATAGAAAATGTTTGAGGACTTATGAAGGAAAGTGTCAATAAGAAAAATCTGACAAACATTGCTGAAATGAAAGAAGAGGTGGTACGATATTAGGACAGCATGGACCACGACATTCTAACTTCTTTCATCAGTAGTATGCCCCGTCGCATTGAAGCCAGCATTGCTGCCCATGGTGACTTGACAAAATACTAACTGTTCTGCTAATATTCACATTTAATACGTGAGAAATGAGTGACAAAAAATTAAAAAAATTACAATCTTTAAATTCTCAATAATTACTGGTTGAACTGTATCATATATGCGATTTGTGGCCTGTTCAACAAAGCGATCGTAGCGCTATGGTCCGATTCTAAATCCTTCTGGGAGTTTTTATGAAAGATTAAAGAAACATCAGTGATGATATTATGTGTTGGTGAAAGGGTAAGCGTATCCTGCTCCAGCGGAGTGATAAATATCTGTGCAACAGATGACCTCATCAAACGGTAGAAGTCAAATTAGGGAATAGTGCCTACCATAAAAAGTATATTTACTGAGGTCTCAAATGTTGTATCTTTGATCTTTGAAATGTTCGTAAAAAGAACATGCTCGATTGTACTTCGACCGCCTCCGTGGTGTAGTGGTCAGAGCGTCCGCCCGGAGAGCGGAAGATCGCGAGTTCGATCCCCGGCCGCGTCATACCAAAAGAAGTTAAAATATGGTACTTGTTGGTCCCTGTCTGGCGCTCGGCATTTATGGGTACATCAAGGACTGGTCGGCTTGGAGTCAGTATAATGTGTCTGAGTGTGGTATTCATGCTTCACTGCGGCATGGTATCTCAGTGTGCTAGCACTATAAAACCAGCTTCAGTCTGGGCTAGTACAAGCAGCCGCACATACACATACACACGCATGCACGTCGTCATATGAGCGAAATATTCTCAAGCACGACGTAAACCCAATTTCACCTCACCTCACCTCGGTTGTACTTCAAAAGTTGTCATATGTGAACAGCTTAAGCTGAAACTGAATATTGTTCGCCATGAAGATAACGTTGATTACTGAAACGTTGATTACTGAAACGTTGACTACTCAAACATTGATTACTGGAAGGTTCAAATCCTCCCTCTTGTCAAAAAAGCATTTATTCATAAAGGCCAGATTGCATAAACCGTGAAATGCATCGATTTACAGACAGGTGGTATAGAGAAAATGTGCCCTCCACACCCCCTCCCGTCGTCTATCTAATACCTTCCCTGGAGTTAAACAATCTGGGCCCACAAGATGTTACTTTATACTCGTTGTAGGCCACAGTTCTCCCTGTAGTGATGACACTGCATTACTGTTGAACTGGCAACGTGGCATGATACACTTTACAAGAAATATGTGGACGTATGTCGGGTGGGGTTCCGCGACAAGAATATTAGGGGTAGACCCATCTGTCAGGTCAAGTAATCTCATGTAATCCGGATTAAATGTAGCGCTTGAGTTATGAAATACACAATGCCATTTTAGAAAGTTGTCAGATGTAACATATGTTATATTTGGGATTACACTTTCTCAGTAAAGTACAGATTCTAGGACTTTTGGGGGTTGAGTGCCATCCGGGATTCGAACCCACTGCTCTGCCACCGCGGCTTTCACAAAAATGGAAGTCGGATAACTGGTAGTCTAGACTGAGGACTTTGGGACTCAACCCAAAAAAAGTACTAGAATCTGTACTTTACTGAGAAAGTGTAATCCCAAATATAACACATGTTACGCTTGAGTTGCTGATCCTGATTTTCGAAGCTCCCTTAGCGCTAAGATAGTCGTAAGTGCCATACATTAACTCACGACTATCTTAGCGCTAAGAGAGCTTCGAAAATCTAGGCCAAGGGCCCTTATTGTTAGTTTCGGTGAGCTCAGTTCAGTTGGGAGTCAATTACTGTCACTTACTCGAATATTGGGCTTATTCCATGGAAAACAATAAATGTGATCCTTAACACAACAAACCAGAGGAGCATGCAAGGATTTCCAGTCGACTGCCTGTGGAGAACTATAGAGATGTTCTGTGTGAGGTTAAGCACATGGGTGATACTAAATTGGTAATTGGTAAATAAATGAAATACTGCCACGAACCACCAATATTTACACCCCTTTAAATACATAATTATATGAATACATCCATGATCCTTTTATTGGTAACAAATTTAAAACAATTGATATACATGTACATTGAAGGCCATTATACATTTTTTACACAATTACATACAAGAATATATAATAAAGCACTAAATTAAATACATTCAAAATACATACAAACACGGTTTTCACATGATTAATAAATTAATTACATAGATGCAAATTATAAACATTCAAACTACAACTGCAAATACATTATCTATAATCAAGAAGCATTTATTTCTTATAACATCACACATGTTGCTGGGGCTTCATCAGGTACGACTGATCCACTACGCAACTGCAACATAATAATAATAATAGTCCATTTATTTTGCGCATTTATCCTTGCACATTGCATGCTCAAAGTGCTGACATATGTCTACCGTGACGAAACATCAAAGGATTTTCACTGTAATACCAAATGTCGTATTCCAGTGAAGTTTTAAGGTTAACGATACACATGACGACACGAAAAAATGTATAGATATATTTATCGTCACCACTCCACTCATGATACAGTCGGAATCTTCCACTGACTGACAGAGATACTTGGTCTTGTTTCATATCAAGAAACCAAAGCACCCCACACCTAGTAAAGAAACTATTTAGTAAGTAGCTGTACAAATCTCTTGTAACATTCCCAATAATGCCTGTATAAGATATTGCAAATCTTTCTCTCAAACATTCCCATCACCACAATGCCGGAGATGGAAAACAGGAAAGTTTAGTTTAAAAAGATATAGCTTCGACTGGATATGTTAACAGTGGAACTTTGACAACCACTTTCAAACCGGGCATATCATAACTCTGTTGTCCAGCACGAGAAGCATTGGATGACCCACTACAGCAACACTGATGCTCATTAATTATGATCAGAAATTATTTGTTGCACCTTAATGAATGATTACGTAATTTGTTTGCAGCAACGGTAACAACACAAATGTACGCGTTACAACTGTCGTGTTTGGGACAGAGGCTTTGAATCGATGGTGTACTTATATCAACTCATCTAATCCAGTTAGACTTATGTGAAACTTGCGTGATTCCAGTGAAATATAATGACACTAATGACACTAATGACACTAATGACACTAATGATCAAATATGTCAAAATGTTCACATCATAGGCGGCCAAGAGTTTCAGAAATAAATCTGACAAAACCATATGCTATAATGATAAATTTGAAATAATAATTTTCAAACACCTAGTTCTATTCTTTCATTTATCAATATGAAATTATAAAAGCCTACGTTCCTCTGACGGCAATTGCGAAAAGAAAAAACTCAGGTGTAGCTTCTGTTTCTAGGAAATCAATGGAAAACAGATGGGCGCATCTTGCGGAGTTATGTGTCAGCCATCCACGTGGACAGACAAAACTGAATAAATAAGGTCCCTGGATGACGCTTGTCAGTAGCTGCTTGAAGAATCAAGATAATGTTCTCATACAACGTCTTCATCCTATTGACCGTCCTCGCGACACATGCGGCAAGAGTAGTAGGGCAATCACCTAGGTCACCAAGGTGTCCTGAGACAGGTGTCCTGCTCGAGAAACTCAACAACCTCACAACAGCTCTTACCTCCATCGACACGGGGCTCAGCCGCGTCGAAGACATCATCGATGAGCAATGCCCTTGTGCTGGTAAGTGACAAAACATGCTTTGAGCTTGATGTGTGTAATTAATTGATATGTTATTTGATTTAAACATATTTTATTCACAAATGTGAAAGTGATTGGGGACAAGTTACCAACTTAAAATACTCGCTCCCTAATATTTACATACATGCATTTTCAATTTTATACATCTTAGGAAGGAATAGAGAGAAAGTGTATTCATTCTGTTGAATATTCATATCTGGACTTCCAAATAACGTTAATGACAATGTGATTGGAGAGTCACGTTTACAGTACTTTTCAAATTTAATATTAATGTCTCTTTCTGAATGTTGTACAGTTTACATTTTAATATGAATATAATAATAATATTTAATATGAAGTGATGTACATTTTCACACGCATTGCCACAGGTAACAAGAAGCAGTATCTTTCATGTTGAAATGATACAGATAATAATTTAGCTGACCAGTCATACATCTCAACTTTGTGTGTATAATATTAAATGTTGTAATTCCAAACGAGTAATATGATGAAGCTACAGGTTGCTCACACTTTAAATACGACCTGAGACTTTGTAATGAAGGCCGATTTCTTTCGGTATCAGAAATATCATTCCATCATCTTATAGGTGATGGAAAATAGGAATCTTACGAAAATCTTAATCTTGCAGAAGGTAAGAAAATATTGTTAGCATTCCGAAAGTTATGATTAGATCTTGATCCCACATTATCTGGAATTATATCTTTTAAGTATATAGGAGCTAAATTATTTTGCATTTTATAAAACAGACATAGCTTTCTTCTGTGTCGTTCGTCCAGTGTGTTCCATCATGTCTTATAATACAGCATTTGCCGCGAGGCATTTCAAGGAAGACCCTTGACTATTTCTGGCAGCTTCCAACTGAAGTGTCATTAAGTTTTCCTTCTGTTGTACAGTACAACCTTTGATTTGTCGTAGGATGTTACAAAATACTTACAGTCAAATCTGTCTCATGTCAATGACACGCTTCGGTTATGTCATTTAGGACATTTTGTTAGCATCAAAGAACCCACAATTTGACCTACACCGAATACTGGCTAGCTATTCTCGAAACGTTCGTAGCCCTACGAACTTCTTAAGCCCATTCTTAACACATTGGCTACGATCAAAGTTAAAAATTCTAATGGCTACGAACGTTTCGAGAATAAGGGCCCAGGTATCCATGTCCATGTACCCACGACAGGGAACACTTGTGTGCAGGTTGTTTCAACGGCCCAGGAAGATTGGGGTGAATCCATCTCACAACTCTCTTTGGTTCATTAGCGTTTAGGGATGCAGGTACTAAGGTGCAATGTGAAGGTGCAATGTGAAGGTGCAATGTGAAGGTGCAATGTGAAGGTGCCAATCACTGTTTGTGATTTCTTTGTTTAACGTGTTGATTCGTAAAGTTAAAAAGTTAACCGGGAATCACTACATAAGAGAACCGAGTGTGAAACCTACCATCAACAAAGCAATGTCATAAAATTCCTAATTGTATTCTAAACGTAGCTAAGTTCACAAATGAATACAAATCACTACAAATATGGCAATACAAGTAGAATGGATGTAGAAACAACCCAATAATAATATAGCATGCAGTGATAATAGCAATAAAGACAGTGATGGTAATATGTACGTCTCAGAAATCCAACTTGGAGGGCGGTGGGGTTGCCTAGTGGTTAAAGCGTTGGCTCGTCACGCCGAAGACCCGGGTTCGAATCCCCACATGGGTACACTGTGTGAAGCCCATTTCTGGTGTCCCCCGCCGTGATATTGCTGAAATATTGTTAAAAGCGGCGTAAAACCAAACTCAGTCAGTCCAACTTGTAATGAGGCCTAGACTGGGTATAAAGATCATCACAAACAATCGCTACCACATACCAATAATGTCTTGTCCTTGAACTAACAATGCTCAGCCTCGATCGTTAATCACAAACGTGTGTTTTTTAAAAATATTTCTTTGTTTGAAGTTTTATTACCAGACGTGTGACTGTGGGTTTCACGTGGTCAAGCCCTTTGATATTCTGGGTTCAGGAATGTTTTTTTCGTTAGAATCAGGCGGAGCAGTAGAATTTACTTTCGGGAAGCTATGTTAAGATTGAGGCAAAATACAAATTCCATATATTTCCATATGTATTTTCGGGACAAATTTTGTATTTAGAGAGATTCCCAATATATATTAAACAGATAATCCCTGGGCGAATTCTTACTACGAGTCTTAGGCAGGAAAGAACAGAATTTCAACTTTATGAAATCGATACAAAACATGTACATCGCCAATGGTCAGGGAATGTTGGTCAGAACCATAGCTAAGACAGTAGCTAGGTGTAGGGATTAAATGCTTCGTATTACGTGATGGAACGCGTGGAGATCCAGGTAGGAGTTAATCCTCACCAATCAGTGCTTGTCCTCTCCCGTGGAGATCCGGGTTAGAATTGGTCTTCAGCAACCCATGCTAGTCTCCCCGTGACGATCTGGTTGTCAGCAACCCATGCTTGTCGTAAGAGGCGACTAACGGGATCGGATGGTCAGGCTTGCTGACTTGGTTGACACACGTCATCACATGCCAGTTAATTAGATGTCAGTCACTGGATTGTCTGGTCCAGATTGGAAAATTGCTGAGTGCGTAATTATGAAGCAGCACACAATTAACCATGAAAATGATAACAAACTGTACCTCCCCCCCCCTCCCCCAATTTCCTACATACATCTGTGTCCACTACAAACACGCTTTAATGGGTAAATCATCAAGAGCAACCAAGGTCTTTGTATAATCAAGCAAACTATAGTTGAACTAAATAAACTATGGGGGGACATTTAGCTTGTGTAATTGTAATAGTGATGCATATAAACTAACCTAAACAACAATATCTATCTGTAGAACCTTCCCTGCCTGCATTAAAGCAGACCAAAGAACAACTAAGTGCTCATGTGGGGAATCGAACCCGGGCCTTCGGCGTGACGAATGAAGGCTTTAACCACTAGGCTATTCAACCGCCCCATTAGCCGAGTAATTTATACACATATCAATCTTTTTCAGATAACTCGTCGGAATGCTTTGAAGTACGAGTCACAAACTTCAGAGCTGAGTTGCAAGCGCTGTTGGCTGATGTCGCGAATGTCACAGGCGACGCCCCCACTGACTGTCCCGAACGTAGGCCTTTCATGATCATTTCAAACATATAACGATCAGCAGATGATTCGTATAGGTTTCACCACTTCCTTAAGACTGTAATCCCTTTCTTTTTTCCATTAGAATCCCTTCTATCAGATAATCGAGAGAATTTGATAATTTGGGTAAATTCTTAATTCTTTATCTGGACCGTTTATCAGGCTTCTGGGGCCTTGAACCTCCAGACACTCACTAAAGCTAATATACTGCAATCTGTTTGAAGGTACTGGCGCCATCTATGTGGCCACATGCGATGGAACGGATGTGCTTGCCGTGGATCCCAATGGTATCTTTCAAAACGGTTTCTCAACAGATGAGAACGTAACCAGATGGTCTGTGTACGAAAACAACGCTGACAGCTATGGATACGAGTACTTTATAAACAACCTGTTTCAGGCCAGATGTCGCAGCGACCCAGCGAAAGTGGAGATTGTTTTGGGTTCATCAAGTGGTATGTTCGTGTCTGCCGTGCCCAAATGTTTAACCCCTCATATATGTTGTAACGGTTACGGTTTACTTTGAAACAAATATTCTCTCGTACTGACGATTTCCATTCCTCCCTGGCACGTTATATACTAATGATAAAATCGCAATGCCATATATTGTCAGGGAACGACCATTCATCATGTTGGGTTGGGTAGTATTGATATATAACGGTATATTGTCAGCGAACGACCATTCATCATGTTGGGTTGGGTAGTATTGATATATAACGGTATATTGTCAGCGAACGACCATTCATCATGTTGGGTTGGGTAGTATTGATATATAACGGTATATTGTCAGCGAACGACCATTCATCATGTTGGGTTGGGTAGTATTGATATATAACGGTATATTGTCAGCGAACGACCATTCATCATGTTGGGTTGGGTAGTATTGATATATAACGGTATATTGTCAGCAAACGACCATTCATCATGTTGGGTTGGGTAGTATTGATGTATAACGGTATATTGTCAGCGAACGACCATTCATCATGTTGGGTTGAATCGCGTTGATATATAATGGTATATTGTCAGCGAACGACCATTCATCATGTTGGGTTGAATCGCGTTGATATATAATGGTATATTGTCAGGGAACGACCATTCATCATGTTGGGTTGGGTAGTATTGATATATAACGGTATATTGTCAGGGAATGACCATTCATCATGTTGGGTTGAATCGCGTTGATATATAATGGTATATTGTCAGGGAACGACCATTCATCATGTTGGGTTGGGTAGTATTGATATATAACGGTATATTGTCAGCGAACGACCATTCATCATGTTGGGTTGGGTAGTATTGATATATAACGGTATATTGTCAGCGAACGACCATTCATCATGTTGGGTTGGGTAGTATTGATATATAACGGTATATTGTCAGCGAACGACCATTCATCATGTTGGGTTGGGTAGTATTGATATATAACGGTATATTGTCAGCGAACGACCATTCATCATGTTGGGTTGAATCGCGTTGATATATAATGGTATATTGTCAGCGAACGACCATTCATCATGTTGGGTTGAATCGCGTTGATATATAACGGTATATTGTCAGCGAACGACCATTCATCATGTTGGGTTGGGTAGTATTGATATATAACGGTATATTGTCAGCGAACGACCATTCATCATGTTGGGTTGGGTAGTATTGATATACAACGGTATATTGTCAGCGAACGCCCATCATCATGTTGGGTTGGGTAGTATTGATATATAACGGTATATTGTCAGGGAACGACCATTCATCATGTTGGGTTGAATCGCGTTGATATATAACGGTATATTGTCAGCGAACGACCATTCATCATGTTGGGTTGGGTAGTATTGATATATAACGGTATATTGTCAGCGAACGACCATTCATCATGTTGGGTTGGGTAGTATTGATATATAACGGTATATTGTCAGCGAACGACCATTCATCATGTTGGGTTGGGTAGTATTGATGTATAACGGTATATTGTCAGCGAACGACCATTCATCATGTTGGGTTGAATCGCGTTGATATATAACGGTATATTGTCAGCGAACGACCATTCATCATGTTGGGTTGAATCGCGTTGATATATAACGGTATATTGTCAGCGAACGACCATTCATCATGTTGGGTTGGGTAGTATTGATATATAACGGTATATTGTCAGCGAACGACCATTCATCATGTTGGGTTGGGTAGTATTGATATATAACGGTATATTGTCAGCGAACGACCATTCATCATGTTGGGTTGGGTAGTATTGATATATAACGGTATATTGTCAGGGAATGACCATTCATCATGTTGGGTTGGGTAGTATTGATGTATAACGGTATATTGTGAGCGAACGACCATTCATCATGTTGGGTTGGGTAGTATTGATATATAACGGTATATTGTCAGCGAACGACCATTCATCATGTTGGGTTGGGTAGTATTGATATATAACGGTATATTGTCAGGGAATGACCATTCATCATGTTGGGTTGAATCGCGTTAATATATAACGGTATATTGTCAGCGAACGACCATTCATCATGTTGGGTTGAATCGCGTTGATATATAATGGTATATTGTCAGCGAACGACCATTCATCATGTTGGGTTGGGTAGTATTGATATATAACGGTATATTGTCAGCGAACGACCATTCATCATGTTGGGTTGGGTAGTATTGATATATAACGGTATATTGTCAGCGAACGACCATTCATCATGTTTGGTTGAATCGCGTTGACATATAACGGTATATTGTCAGCGAACGACCATTCATCATGTTGGGTTGGGTCGTATTAAACACAGCAACGTGTTGTCATGAACTTCTCATGTGGATTTGGGTAGTTTTCAACATTTACGATACATGGTCACAGAACAACCATGCATCACGTTTGATTTGGGAGAATTGTTTTGATTCTTTGAAATATTTGTTTGGCACGGCAGTTCTCCAATGAAACCTTGTCATTTATTTTATTTCAGATAGTCCTCTTACAGCCGACGCAGTTGGAACTGGCATTGCGTACAACAATGCTACAGACGAAGATTTGGTTGCCATTACCTTCGCCAATCAGACTCTAAACGGCATCTATGCCTTCAATAGGACCTCACCCGTATCGATTTCCTTGTATGCCTCTTTCGATGGCCCCACTGGTCTGCTGAAGGTGGCCGACGATGGGTATGTATGTATACTCCAAAACACGGTCGTAGAATGAAAGTCAAGACTGTCGTCACGCCGACACGCTTGTCATGGATACTCGAGGCAAAAAACATGATTCTCTGTAAATGATAAAAGCAGGTCTTGGCTAGAATTGTTTCGCAGATATAGACTACACATTAAACAGCATAGCTGATGTAACTTTGAATTTTTTTTTCCACAAACCATTGAAATAAGAAGCATTTTGTAAAATACTAAAACTTCTTTGAGTGGCAAAAGACTAAAACGTAAGACATCATTAAAACACAAGCAACTTAAACATGGACCTTTTCTAAAACGTTTTTTTTTTCAAAATGCTATGACACAAGGGGCATATACAATGATGTGCAGACCCGTTCTTGTACCAACCAATACATTCTACCCGCTGTTAAACCAAGATGTCGGCCACATGTATAGCCTTTCCTACATAGGGAGAAATTGCATGACAGATAGTGATGATTGCCAGATAATAATAGCATCCCAAGTACACTGTCGTCAGGCTCCCCATTGTTCTCAGTGTCCTTGGTTTGGTACCTGCTAAACTCTTGGCGCAGATCAGGAGAGTGCTCGGGTTCTCCAACGGGGGCACAGCTCTTCTGACACTCTGGGTAATGCAGAAGGCTGCAGTGTTGGGGAGCCTTCATATTTCTTCAAAGTTCTTGGTGGGTTCGACTAGGCAGCGTTTCCTGGGAGAAGTCCCATTCGCTGTCTGGGCTGCGTATAGAAGGGGCAAGGGCCCTGAGCTGATGATGAGCTTTACCAGCCTGACTGTGCCAGGATCGCCCTAACCCTCTCTGCTGCATACTATCTTTAATCTGTAAAACATAATGATAATAACCCGAACCCTCTCTGCTGCATTTTTCATCTTAATCTGTAAAACATAATAATGAGAATATTTATAACGCGCCTTTTCCTGGCTAGATATCCATCTTAATTCGCGCAATCCGATCATTATTACCCCGGATAACCCAAGCTGCCAGTCAGGCGCCAGAAGGTTAATAGTCTCACGACTTTTCCCACCGGGTACCCATTTTCTGCTGGGTGAACAGAGGCAAGCTTGAACAAACTCACTTGCTTAAGGTGAGACCACATGTATCACATGTGCTTCGTTGTGGGGAAGGACTGAAGACCTAGACGCTCTCAGAAGTTTGTTTACAGGTGTACGTAGTTTACTCGGCAGAAAATGGATTATGTCTTCAAGTCTATTAAAGGGGCGGTGGGGTAGCCTAGTGGTTAAAGCGTTGGCTCGTCACGCCGAAGACCCGGGTTCGAATCCCCACATGGGTACAATTTGTGAAGCCCATTTCTGGTGTCCCCCGCCATGATGTTGCTGGAATATTGCTTAAAGCGGCGTAAAACCAAATTCAGTCAGTCAAGTCTATTAAACAATTTCAAATACAATGTCGTTTTGTTGTAGGACTGTGTACATGACATCTGGGCGCCAAGTCTATACCATTCCCTCTACCGGCAGTCCTGTGCAAGTAATATTTTGGTCGACGGAAATTACTTCCTTCGAAGTACTGAGCAACGGTAGGAACAAAAAAGCACTAAAGTACTGTCGAAAATAGAAAAAAAGTTTTTAGGCTGTTACTCTGTATCCCTAAAATTGACAAATTTACAAATAGCATATATTGAAATAACCCACATCGGCCTAACTGGGCATTCAGCGGGATGCGTAATAGGATATCCAGAAAAGCATGTTTACTCTTAAAATCGGGCAAAACTTAGAAAAAATACGAATAGATGCTCAGAAGAATAGATCGGACTATAGATGGCAATTAGGTCGCTCAGCCAGGTATGACGACGGACCTTCGACTCACCTGGCATGAAATGCACGTCCTGCCTACATGCACAAGGGGTCATCTCAAAGATATTTTATGGTTTTTTCATGTGTGTTGAATATGTCTCATCTATTGATCATAATATGTTTATGTTGAGATACGTAAAAGTGTATGATACCCATGGAAAAGCTTAAATCAGACATCGTATTAAATGTCTCAAAATATATTGGTGGCATGACCACCCGAAGATCGACAGGACTGGATATTATTTGTAATGACATGCCGTTTGCTTCCCAGTTTAATTCCCCCAAAAGATTATCTTATCTCAGCTTATATCTCTATCCCCCAGCCCGACACCAACCACCGACACCCATCATGGATTTGCTTTTGAGACGACCCCTCCTACCTGTTTCTTTTTATAGTGATAGTGAGACTCCATGGTAGCTACATCCTTCATAGTTTCAGTATTAAAGTTATTATTTTTTACGCCAGCTATCGTTTATAATGAAGCTAAGTTTAATTTCAAAGTGGACATTCAAAAATTGTCCTTTGTAATATAATATCATCGAACACTAATTTGCATAAAGCCATGGCCTGTCTCAAATAAGTCGCTTTGGACTTAGAAAAAACCCGCATTTCTCATTTCTGCACTAAACTCTCCTCAGTAAAGTCCTTTTTTCTACGTCTCCTATCTCCCTACCACTGAGACTGTAGTTAGGCCGAACTTAGTTTAACAGATATTTCACACTTACACATATTAACTACATAAATTGGAGATATTAATGCGAAAAATCAGTTTTTTTCTATTTCCGACAGTACTTTAGTTAAATAAGACATGCTAAAATTTAGTGGGAATCGTACATCGGAATTACTGTTAGAAGAAAAACTCTGATGATTATGGAATCGGTTATAAATAAAGTTGACTTTGAAAATAGACAGACACATTAAGTTTATTAAATCGCAACGGTATTACTACCTGATGTCTCAGTCGTTGGTAAATAGGTCATTATTCTGTTCTTCCGGAATATATTCATCTAAATGATTTATACATCCAATTTACACTTCTCTTTTTCAGGGGTCATCGTGTTCTGTGAAAGCTCTGGGGGAGTGTGGCGCAGGAACCCTGATACAACACCAGTGTCGTTTCAACAGCTTAGATTTCCAAATTCTGGCCTCGTCTGCAGATCAGTGGTATTCAATCCTTGCGATGATAGCATCTACGTGGCAAGCAACGACAATGCGTAAGTAGCCACATTAAGTTTAGTTTTACGCCACTTTTAGCAATGTTTGAATAATATCACGGCGGGGGACACCAGAAGTGGGCCTCACACATTGTGTCTATGTAGGGAATCGAACCTGGGTTTTCGGCCTGACAAGCGAACACTTCAACCACAAGGCCCCTTTCACGCCGAGTGATCTCGTAACAGACGATTCACTAAGATTAAAATGAGCTTGGAACGCATGTGGTCGAACATTCAGCGACGTGTTCTTTAAGCTGAAACGTTCTTTGAAAAGGATATTTTATACATAACAAATTGTCCATTATTTCAAAATCTTGGTTTATCTTAAAAAGTGAGTTTAGTTTTACGCCACTTTTAGCAATATTCCAGCAATATGACGGCGCAGGACACCAGAAATGGAGTTCCCACATTGTACCCATGTGGGGAATCGAACCCGGGTCTTCGGCGTGACGAGCAAACGATTTAACCACTAGGCTACCCTATTGCCCCGTTACAACTAAGGTGACGTTTTAAAAAAATCATTTTTCAGAGATCTTGAGGTCTACAGCACAAGTAACTACCAGCTTGTAAATAGACTGACGTACACGTCGTCGTCGGTGTCTGCGTGCCCGTCTATTGCCGCAGATCCATCATTCTGGTATGAACTGATAACGGAAAAATTATCAATAACACAACCCACAACAGATAATTAAGAACTGACCACAGATTTTCCCATTTCCTCTACTGTAATCCACGGAGAAACGTGGCAGTAAATTTAAAATATTTAAACAAAACAGAAGAAAGAAATTCAGTTGCTATAATTAGATATGTCATTGAATTTTATGGTGTCTTAATTTGTTTATTAAACCGTAAATTCTAATTCTGAATGTCCAAGATATTTTTATGGATTAAACTTCTTTGTTAATTTCTCTCACGACGTTTCGAGACCATTCCAGGTCCCTTCATCAGGTGAACTGGCAGTTAGGACTATGACGTCGTCACTATGACGTCATAACTGAGTTATGACGTCACAATGCAAGTGACATCACAGTACACTAGGGAGAGTACTGTATAAGTGAGTTTGAAGAGTTAATTACATAATGATGAAAATTCATGCTAAATAATAGAGTTGAAAGTTGAATTGTCAATACACAACAACTGCTAATTACACAAAGGTTACTTGATAGCAGGCTTTCCAAAAAGAATAGTAGACTCGTTTTTTCTTTTATCTAAAGTTCATCAAAAGTTAATCAAGAGGTCCCACGCACTTGGCAGGTATACACCTTGATCACGATTAATTGCTGGTTTATGTCTCCTTATCTCGACAGCTTCCTGTAGTTTTCTCCGACGCCAGTCGTTGTTATTTCTCGAAATCATCCTAATATCATTCCACCTGATTACATGACTTGGGTTATTTGCCTTGTGCTCCGATATAGCTGACTTATCATTTTGTTTGCATACTGATGACTTGTGTTCAGCAACCCGGGTGTTAATGGGCCTGAGAGTCTCGCCAATATATTGATCGCCACAGCTGCATGGTATTTGGTATACACCTCCTCTAGGGTTGGGGCTTCCATTGCTAGATCCTCTACCATTTGCCCGGAGGAGTGTCTTAATTGCTGTACCGCTAGAGAAAGTTATATCAAAGCCCGCTTTGCTCTTGATTAGTCGGGCTATCTGATGGCTGACTGGTCCCACGTAGGGTATTGTGATCCTGATCGGGGATGGTTCAGGCTTGAGGCGCTGTTCTGATAATTCAAGCGTTTTGGTGATAGTCCTGGAGACAAGACGGGCTGGGTAGCCATTCAAAGCGGGCTTTGATATAACTTTCTCTAGCGGTACAGCAATTAAGACACTCCTCCGGGCAAATGGTAGAGGATCTAGCAATGGAAGCCCCAACCCTAGAGGATGTGTATACCAAATACCATGCAGCTGTGGCGATCAATATATTGGCGAGACTCTCAGGCCCATTAACACCCGGGTTGCTGAACACAAGTCATCAGTATGCAAACAAAATGATAAGTCAGCTATATCGGAGCACAAGGCAAATAACCCAAGTCATGTAATCAGGTGGAATGATATTAGGATGATTTCGAGAAATAACAACGACTGGCGTCGGAGAAAACTACAGGAAGCTGTCGAGATAAGGAGACATAAACCAGCAATTAATCGTGATCAAGGTGTATACCTGCCAAGTGCGTGGGACCACTTGATTAACTTTTGATGAACTTTAGATAAAAGAAAAAACGAGTCTACTATTCTTTTTGGAAAGCCTGCTATCAAGTAACCTTTGTGTAATTAGCAGTTGTTGTGTATTGACAATTCAACTTTCAACTCTATTATTTAGCATGAATTTTCATCATTATGTAATTAACTCTTCAAACTCACTTATACAGTACTCTCCCTAGTGTACTGTGATGTCACTTGCATTGTGACGTCATAACTCAGTTATGACGTCATAGTGACGACGTCATAGTCCTAACTGCCAGTTCACCTGATGAAGGGACCTGGAATGGTCTCGAAACGTCGTGAGAGAAATTAACAAAGAAGTTTAATCCATAAAAATATCTTGGACATCAATGTACAACTTCTAAATGCCACTGAAAGACATTTGTAAATGTCGATTTGTAATTTGAAATTGTATCCATTTAAAACTGGATAAATAATGATATGGTAACACATCTTCAGGAAAACAGCCACTCTAAGCTAACCGTATGCACTTGATACATGAGTAACCATAAAAATGGTTTTCATGGCACCAATCAACCATTTTGCAAATCATGGCACGGGTCATTGACAAGTACACAACACCTGTCAATAGCAGGTATGGGATCCACAAGATGCAGTTACATACTGATATCCTGGATCCATGCTTACAATAGGCTCAGATATTTAAATCAAATTTGACCCCACATCATAGTTTTCTGTTGAACCAATGATTTGATCCTTAGCAAAGTGTGAATAGTATTTATAATTTGGATAAATCTGCTTCAACTGCATTCATATACCAAACAATAGCACGTATAATAACATTGATGCTTTCTCAGATATGAAAACAGTATATCAAGTTACTATTCAAAACGAGATTCCGTTCACTTGTTATGGCACGTGAGGCCTGCGTGCGCTTGTAATCAGCAGTATTACTTGTGTGGGCGTGAGTCAGGGAATCATGACGTTCACTTGCTATGGCACGTGAGGCCTGCGTGCGCTTGTAATCAGCAGTATTACTTGTGTGGGCGTGAGTCAGGGAATCAAGACGTTCACTTGTTATGGCACGTGAGGCCTGCGTGCGCTTGTAATCAGCAGTATTACTTGTGTGGGCGTGAGACAGGGAATCATGACGTTCACTCTCTCATGGTATTTCATCACTTGTTTTCAGGCTCAACTTGGATTGGAAGCCACGTGACCCAAACACAGTTAACTGCAAGAAGAAAAAAAACCGTGTTGAGGTATTGCTTCGTCAATAAACTCTTTTCACACCACCAGTATGTTTGGGTTGTTTATATGAAAACGGGAAACAAATTCATTTTCTTAAAATTCCTAAATAGCAAAAGGCACTACTTCATCCCTTGGTTAATACACGTACCCGGTTGGGGTGAAAAGTGGGGGTGCTCCGGAAACGAAATCCACCCCTTTGTTTCCATGGAAATCGAGGAACATAAAAATGCCAAAAATCAGTAAATAGCAAAATACACCTCTTCAGGTTCTGTTTGATATATCTACCAATATTTGTTGAAAACTATTGAACGGTTTTTGAGTAATGCTCCGGAAACGAAATAATTACGGACGGACGGAAGGACGGACAGACAGACAGACGATGCGTTGACTGTAGCCCCCACCATTACATCTATTACCATGTCAGTAATGTCATTATAACATCAGTATTCAGTAATATTATTATTTCATATGAATTCTGAACAGCTGTTAATCAGCATCCTGTTAGTAGAAGTTGGTCACATCCGCGAGATAGGTCAACACAGCCAGGATACTGGTATTACACAAAAAATAATGTAATTGTCCTATTTGCCTGGCCAAATTCAAACGATTCTATCTGTGTAAAGGCGTGCCCCTTACGTGTCCCTGGGAACAAGCTCCAATACAGATGGCAAGACCCTGTGAAATAAAAAGGTCACCCCACCGAGTAGTATACACGATGGGGTCGGTTCCGGTGTATCAGGCCAGATTGGCCACTGCCCACATTAAACCCGGTATAGTGGCCAGAGTATACCCCGGGGAATAATCTGTCCTAGGCCAAACCATGCCCGGTGTGTAAAACAGCCTAGGCTAGACTATGTTTCCCCCCTACCCCTACCCCTACCCCACCCCACCCCAGAATATACCCCCGTGTGTAACAAGGCTTTGACTGGATTTACACAGTATATTTACTCATTATGTTTACAAATGGGCAAAATATTTGGCATGGCACTTTAATGTACATTATATTTACACACATGTAACACTGCAACAGCCCTGTACACCTACCACATCTGCTGTCCAGCGATATCACACAACCATGATAGCACACAGCAATGATAGCACACAGCAATGATAGCACACAGCAATTCTTCAACACAGCAGGTCATTGAAACACATCCACTCTTGGCGTGATACCTCTGGATAGTTTGGGGGCGGTGGGGTAGCCTAATGGTTAAAGCATCCGTCGTCACGCTGAAGGCCCGGGTACGTTTCTCCATATGGACACGATGTGTGAAGCCTAGTTTTGGAGTCCCCCGCCGTGATATTGCTGGAATATTGCTAAAAGCAGCGTAAAACCATACTCACTCACTCTGGATAGTTTGAAGTAGGGATAAGAAAACACCCGAAAAATTTCTGAATACAATTGGTAAAAACACCTTATGCGTATTCATTTAACAAGGCCATTATTCATTAGCAATACAATTATAAAAATAGAAAACCCTGAGAATTGGCCCTGCACAATATATACACAAAGAATTTAATTAAACACCCCCTGTATTTTTGTAGTGGCAGGTTTTCAACATGTACATAAACTTCTCGTGGTGACCACGATGGAAAATCATGAGTTTTTCTGACCCGTATACTGGATTGTCTGGTCCAGATTCGATTATTTACAGACCGCCGCCATATAGCTGGGATATAGCTGAGTGTGGCGTGAAACTAAACTCACTCACTCACTCCACATCCCATAAAAACCTAAAAACCAACCAAAAACAAGCAAACTCCCACCAAAACTCGAGCAAAAATTATCCAAAACCAAAAATTCTACTTCGAAAAAATAACTGCTCACCAAACCACCCACCCACCCCACGAGCATACCCAACATTTTACCTCACCAACCCACAGCCCTAGAATTTATCTATTTTTTTCTACACCATCTAAAGTAGTATATACGATGGGGGTTCTGAAATACCTCCCGTCGAGGGGTCAATTTCAAATTCATCGTGTAAAGCAGCTTCCAATTGGGCCAGGTTCTGAAGGATACATTTGCTGCACACGACGACCAGTCATGTCCCAGATATGCTCCGAAGGGTTAAGATCGGGGCTCATTCAATCGTGACATGTCAGGGGGTGCTTAACTAAGTTCTTTGTGTATATAAGATTTTTTCTTGGCCTTCTTGAAGGCAAGAATGGGACAAGCAAAAATAGTCTCGTCACCTCATGGGTTATGATCCGTTTCTCAGATACATTAAAAATACGAGCAAGACAGCAACATAATGGCAATAAGTAATTCCGTTGATATGGCATTTACTTATTCCCAGCTAACAATTTCACGTTGTCATAACGTTATGCTTTCGTTGTTACGTTCTTTTGTGGACTCCCATTTACGTTGTCACGTTTTGGCCTGACGTTGTGGTACGTCAATTTTACGGCGCCACGAGGTTAACGTTCTATTTAACGTTACTAGTTGAATAGTGTTCCCAGTAGTGAACAGTACATAGAAACAAAGCAGAAATTCACTTCAATGTTTATTCGTCAGCTTCCATGTTGTTTTAGTCGTGTGTTTTCTGAAGCTGTGGCTGAATAGTAAAGAAGGAATCTCAAAGTGATATGTTTTACAGAAAACTCTGTGACACCAAGTTGTAAGAAACGTTGGTATAACGTGGTGAGGAGCCCAAAGCATAACGTTTCCTCAACATTAATTCGCAACGTGATTACGTTGTAACATAACGTTATAAAATGATGTAATACTACCTTTGTGTCTTGACGTTACCAATCTACAACGTCCCCTAACGTTGCAAGAACGTTGTCACAGCGACTACTGTAAACGTACTTGTTTAGACTTGACATTTTAGACTATTAAACCTGCGCGACATATAATACCTTTACAGTAGTTCAGGAGAGCCATTGCCTCAGTATTTCTAAAGACCCAGTCCAGTAATGAACAGAATGAGCATCGATCTACGCAATTGGGATGCGATGACATGTGTCAACCAAGTCAGCGAGCCTGACCACCTGATCCCGTTAGGCGCCTCTTATGACAATCATGGGTTACTGAAGACCAATTCCAACATGAAATGGGTAGTCAACTGTTCACTTGGGACAAAAACACCGGAAGATAAGGTACACGTGCAAATAGGGAATTGCATCAGACCTTTTTCTTACTGAGGCATCCAATTGGAACCCATGGGAAAAGATCTGGTGGCTTCTACTGGAGACCTATTCTTCAAGTAAGTCAAATATCTCTTATGAGGCTGTGTCGAAATTACGAAACAAGACCATAAACAAACAGAACTGACACGTTTATTTCATTCACTTTCTTTCCAAAAATACAACTTTTGCACAAGAATCTCTACTAGCTCAGACAGCCTTAACAAACAACACAATGCCTACAGATTCTTGTCTGACTTCAGTTGATATTCGAGCTTCTTCTCACAAAGCCAACAATACCAATCAAGTCTATCCATGGTACCAGGCATAATAACTCGGAAAATTAAAATTCATTAAAAAAGATTGAGATTCTAAAAATGTTGTTACAGGTCGTCAATCCTCCATTGGAATCGGTACAAAACCAGGGCCCAGTTTCACAAAGCTCTCGTAGGCCTAAGATCTCGTAACTTTTCTCGTAGCATTCGTACCTCCTATACTGTAACATAGGGAGTACGAATGCTACGAGAAAAGTTACGAGATCTTAGACTTACGAGAGTTTTGTGAAACGGGGCCCTGGTCAACTGGTGTTTCCACAAGAAAGGTTGGATCAGTGTTTTCTACCATGGAACATTGCGTTCTGGGAAAGGTTTTGTTGATCCGGGATACAGAAAACAAGCGTGGGCTTGCTAACCAGAGTTTTGTCAGAGTTACATCCAACATGTTCAAAGCGCAAAATATTGTCGTTCATAAAGGCCTGAAACTCAACTGCTGCTTCAGAGATTGTTAAACATGAGAAAATCAGGTCCTAATCGGTTTGAATGGGGTCTTTTCGATAGTTAATTCATTTCTCTGACTCAAATCCTGTATAGATTAACCTGTTACTTGACTATACTACTGGTGTATGACAGTGGGCTGTTAACAAACAGGTGTATGACAGTGGGCTGTTAACAATTAAGCCAAGGCCAGAGCCCAATGATTGATGTTATGAGCATTAAACCACATGGCTGTGATTGAGGATACACTATTGACCACGTAAATAATTTTGTTGCTATTTATGATAAGAATATGTTGAGGATCTTATTATTAATTGGAATCCTGATGTGTCAACTAAAGTTTGACAAAGACATTGCTTGGTACTGCATACCCAATCAGTAACTAGCTTCACACTGTCAAATATGACATTTTTCAAGTAAAATTGATATTTTTATACTTATCCTGACTCATGATCTTTTGCTTATCTCCCTTCCCGTTGCGAATAGTAGTGGAACACTTGAATCCCTTGAAGTTCCGGAAGCGGACGTAAAAATACACTCACCCATGTGTTACCTCCGTTTTGCCCTTTCCCGTGCAAAGAGTCATGTGACCAGCCTCACCTGTCACTCTCTCCTGATTTTTCTGCCCATGCACTTGGATCTGCTGTGAAATCCGAAGTGTTTCCAGCGGGAAGGTTGGGAGGGCTTCTCGTCATGAGTCAGGATAAGTATAAAAATATCAATTTTACTTGAAAAATTACATGTTTTTTCTTATCCTGACTCGTGATCTTTTGCTTATAGAATCCGACGGATTGGTGGTGGGTCAAGCCACTTCGTGGATTCATCAGCTGATTCATCAGCTGTCCTTAGATATTCGTCCTGTATCTCTGACCCAATATACTAGATCTTCTTACTAGGGATAAGGTCCACGAATTACAGGTTTACAAGATCTTCACCCGTATTCTGTGCCTGTGTTTTGATCAGGAACCGTTGCTTATTGTAATCTCCCTGCGCCGAGGTTAGTAGACCGAGTAGACATTGCCATGTTCGTAGTGTTAACGGAGAGATGACTGCTTGAGGAATCATGGCTTGTATCTTGACCCAATGATCTTCTGGGACCACAATTCGATTCTGTGTTGTGATAATTCTTATTCCCAGCAATTGAAAATCTTGTTTGATTCTAACTCCATTCATCAGGTTCACTAGCCATCCTAATTGCGTGAGCAAATTAAGTTCAGCTGCTGATTGGCACTTTGAAGAACCTGTATGCCGTCGTCCAGATAACCGGCAAGATGCTGCAGATGATGCCGATAGGCATTCATATTAATCATAGAGCCGAGATATTCCAAACTGTATGCCGTTCCATTGGAAGTGCTAACCTCTGATTGCAGTGATGATACATCATTCTTCCTCTTATATACACAGGTGATCTGTGTTGATCAGCACATCGATTTGTTTATTTATAGCAAGGCTGGCTCCAGTGTATCATCGCAGGGGACAGGTACTCGTACAGACTTTTATCAGCGACAATTTCCAAATAAACATTGTTTATACTGCTGTCAAGGCTAGACATCTATTAGATTCCAATGATGATAACAGGCCGTAGATGTATACTGTTTCCAAGGCTGCTGATGAAGTATTCCCCCGTACCACGGGTTTGTTTACAAGTCAGTAAACTTGCTGGAGCCTGCTCTGTCAGTGGGAGGCGTTGTCTGACGTGGACCAATCAGCTTCCAAGCATGACGTCACCGGTGTTGTAGCAAGCTGGCCTCCATAAAATCTGATGCAATTAGTTGGTTGAGTAAAAGCGCCCGTAATTCTACGCCGCTCATATAAACCTCTTGACTAAGGGTTGCTCCAAGTGTAAATTCTTGTTCAGTGATATAAATCACGTATTCCCATTGTGGATAATATAAGCCAGCATGACGAAGGAGGCTGTCGAGACGTATGTCTGTATGGATCTTGAAGAAATACCGATGTTGAATCTAGTTGATAGGATATAAATTCCTAATGCCCACGCTGAGTGACGAGAGTTAATAACATCATCTGTACGTCCGTTCAAGGATTCTTGAAGGCGTTGTTAACCTTAAGCCCTTTCCAAAGGTCGCCTTGAGGTTCTCCAGTACTTGGGATATCGGCTTCATAGGTGATATCACATTGGAGTCGAAGTCATCAGCGAATATGCAGTACGTCTCTGTTGGGTTAGAGTGAGTGAGTGAACGACAATATCCACAGGCAATCTGCTATCCGGTATAAGACCTCAGCATCCGTATAGATGAAAGGATTCCTTTCATCAAGTAGGCTGTCGTCCCAAACTGAACCTATACAGGTATAGGTTTGTGCAGGTTGTAGAGTTAAGCAGGCTGCAAACTGTAGAGATCGCACATGTTGTAGATCTTTTTGTTGAGTTATAAACTCTGACAAAACCATCCGTTTTCATCATTGCTTTGTATTATTCAGCCGTATGGTGATAGAGTCGACGTCAACATCCTGCCTGTTGATCTAAGAGTTCGCGAACCTTGGAGATGTCTGGGTTACTGATATCTGCTTGTTGATCTGAGGATTCGGGAATCCTAAGGTTCACGATCCTTGTAGATGTCAACATTATTGTAGATATCTGCGTTGCCTCTTCTCTAAACTTCCTCTCGCGAACCTTCCTTTCACGAACCCTGCCTTCTCGAACCTCTATCTGTAGATTCTCCCTTTGCGAACGTTTATCTTGAGAGTCCTCTCTTCGCGAACCTCTATCTCTGAATACATCTCTTCGCGAACCTCTGTGACATGAGCTTTCTCTTCGCGAACCTCTGTCTTGTGATGAGTTACAGCGAACCTCTGTGAGAGATATGAGATCTCGATCTAGAGCGGCTTAGTGTAGGAGATGGATCCTTAGTTGAGGGTTCGCAGATGTTGAAGTGTGAGTAGGCTTCTCATGTCTTCTATCCTCCTCCAAGATGACAGAGTCGTCCGACTGTGGAGACCTTTCGCAAAGGTGTACGTTCGCCAACGTAGTCTTGAGACGTAGTTCTCTGAGGAGTAGGTTCGCAGGTCCGTTGATTCGCGCAGGTCCGTTGATTCGCGCAGGTCCGTTGATTCGCGCAGGTCCGTGGGTTCGCGCAGGTCCGTGGGTTCGCGCACGTTGTCAGCAGATGAGAGGTTCCGTCGCGTGGACCACTTCAATCTCAGACAAGTTGAATCATGTTGATTCATGTGGCTTCAGATCTACTAGTATCTTCTTATTACTAGATATCTTATAACAACCCATAGATTATGATAAGATCTTTATCATAAATGAGTTGCGACCCCTTCATGTACAGGTAAGATCTTTACCCGCAGAGGGTCTTTAATCACTCATGCTAGTCTGTCCTAGACTGTGCACATGGACTTTCAAACTAATACTTTTCCTTAGTAAAAGTTATCAACAAGTCAACGTGATAAAGGGTGAGATTTCCCAACTCAGAACCGTTAGTTCGTCAAACAGCTGGCCTGCTGTGGCAATTGCAGGAGACGATCTAGTAGTCGTGGAAGTCGATTGAGTCGCCGATCTCGTAGGTACTTCAGGTAGAAGTAACGGGGTATCATCAAAAACGTCTACTTCTTACTTTGAGCCGGTGTCAACTGCGTTGTAGCCGATCTCTTCTTCGCCCCCATACCAGACGACTGCCCCTGCAACATACTCAACATAGCACCAGTATTATGAATTTCAGCCATAGCAAGCAATATACAGTTTGCAGGCTGATCTCCTGTTTTATCAGCCGTGACTTGAGATGACTTCCTCACCCGATCCATGGCACGTCTATAGGTATAAGACAAATATTGATTAAATTGTAGATTTGATAAATCAACACAATAAGTACAGCGCAAGCTGGAAGAACATGGTTTTATGCACGAAGGGCACTGGAGGTGAGGATCAGCCACGGATAACCTGTGCCTGCAAACACTGAAAGATTTCATGAAATGTAAACAAGTTACAAAACGATGAAATTATGACACAAATACAAATAATTTTTTTACAATTTTTTACATATAATACAGAATAATTATAGCCAAATCCATACACAGCGTAATTTTTAAGAATAGGATCTAAATTAAAAGGATACAGTGCCGTATACATGACTCCATTGCTCGCCCAACCATCCGCTTCAGAGAAAATGAAGAGTGACAAGTAAGGCTGGACACATGACTGTTTGTGCGAGAAAAGGGAGGTAACTCGTGGGTGAGTGTATTTTTACGTCCGCTTCGGGAACTTCAAGGGATTCAAGTGTTCCACTACCATTCGCAAGGGAAAGGGAGATAAGCAAAACATCATGAGTCAGGATAAGAAAAAATAATAAGAATATGTGAACCTTTAGAAATGGACAGTGAGTTTATGCCTGAGAAACAATCACTCAATTTAAAAAAGCTGAGTTTGTGCAATTACATTACAAAGGCTTGGTACAAAAATGTAACAATCGTCTCCTAGAAGCATACACATACACGGAAAACAACTTTCATATTGCATAATAAATTATTACAAAGGAAGCACTCCATATTCGTCAGCTTGCGACTGCACTTTGGATGTTGCGAGGTTTCGAGTTCTTCTCAGCATGATATATTCTTGATATCTGGATGAGGATTGGCCCTGTCTCTGAATCGTTGAGCCACTGATTGGCAGACATGGGAGACTCAAGCATCTGAAGAAATGCTGAAACACAACAAGGTGGCCAAGATTATGTCAATGTTGAACCAATTCTAACTTGGATCTTCACAGGTTCTAAAACGATGCTAATAGAGACCAGAACTCACATAGACAAAAACAAATATTGAACGAAGAAGGGATGGAATGATATATACTCATCAAAAAAAGAAGGGGAACTTCCTTTTTAATATAAGATTAAAATATTGGGAAATACATCAGAATCAATCAGTTGATATAATAATAATGAATGTTTTGAGAGTGCATCACCACTTGCACCTTATGACCATTGTTATTTGTATAGTAATTGCTCTAGTAAGATGATAAGTGTATGACGTGAAATTTGCACGCGTACGATTTTCATTTTCAAACAATGAGACCCCATGCATGTGCATGGGTCTAATGGGTTGTGCACGTGCATCCCATGCGTTGTGTTTAGGGGGGGTGATAAAGAGAAATGGTGGTGCTACATAAGATGTCTGTCTTTGAAAAGTTTGTCAACGCTTATACTTCCTATCCAGATTGAAAGTTCAGGTTCCCCTATATTTTGTTCAGAGTATAAAACCAAATCAGCCAGCCTATAGTCCGTTTGGCTCAAAGGCGGACCGATGAATTGCAGTCTAACTCGAAAACTAATAAACATAACATACTCAATGAAACGCTGATCATAATCAAAACATCATACCCACTCTGTGAGTTTTTGCAGAATTTTTGTCCTAAAAATAATAAAGTTGCTTAACAATCTATCATTAAAATATTGACACAGTTTACTGTTTGTTACGAGGGAGGAGTGCAGAGAAAGGGACAGCCAGGTGTTCGAGAACGGATGGAGACGGCACATCACAGGTTAATGAATAAATAACTTTGTCTGTGAACGTGCTTCTCGAACACCTGGCTGTCCCTGTCTCTGCACTCCTCCCTCGTAACAAACAGTGAACTGTGTCAATATTTTAATGAGAGTTTGTTAAACAACTTTATTATTTTTAGGACAAAAATTCTGCAAAAACCTCACAGTGTGGGTATGATGTTTTGATGATGATCAGCGTTTCATTGAGTATGTTTATTAGTTTTCGAGTTAGATTGCAATTCATCGGTCCGCTTTTGGGCCAAAGAGACAGTAGGAGTTGTGACCTTCTGCTTCAACTTACCCAGTAAACATCGAGGGTTATTCAGACCCAGCTGGACAGTTGGGTTGGCCAATATTGCCTTGTATACTGGACTGTCAGGGTCTAGTCCATCGTCCACCGTCTCCGGACGGGTCTGCCGGTCACCCAGTAGCCATTCACACTGATAATGAAAACACTGAGTGAGTGAGTGAATGAGGTGAACCCAGAACCGAGAACATAGGGGATTTGAGTCCACACTATGAGAGTTTGTTGGTATACTGTTGGAAAAAGGACAATGATGTGGACATGTGAGTGGGTGAGTTTAGTTTTACGCCGCTTTTAGCAATATTCCAGCAATATCATGGCAGGGGACACCAGAAATGGGCTTCACACATTGTACCCATGTGAGAATCAAACCTGTGTCTTTGGCGTGATGAGCGAAGATGAGGACACGTGAAAGGGACATGGCAATAGTGGACAAACGTAGGATATACGTCCAAGGATTCAAACTCACAAGTTCCTGGAACAATCAAGGAGCATGCTAACGTTTCCTGGACAGCTACACTATGGGATTACGCTGCCTGTTGAACGAGGAAACTGACTGGGTATCATTTTTTGCACTGTTAGCAAGTATCTGGACACACCGAAGATGGTCTTTACACATGACATTCATAGGAAATCACACCTGGTCCTCAGGGCATATTTTCATATTCATTGCTATTTTTACACATAATTGTTTAAAAAGATGGCTGTTTTTCTCAAACAAAGACAGAAATGCGCTAAAACGGTTTCTGGAAACCAAGGGACCTTAGAATTAGATAATGTTGGACATCTGGGGTCCCAGTACCTCACATGCCCTGCATACCATCCACACCTCACAAGACATTCGTGTTGAACATGTTCTCTGAGCCCTACATGTCCACGTGTCTTCTATGACCTACATTCACTCTGTGCCCCAAATGTCCTCTGTGCCGGAGATGTCCTCTGTGCCCTACATTCACTCTGAACCCGTGAAGGTCCGGGTTAGAATGAACCTTCAGTAACCCATGGTGGTCATAAGAGGCGACTAACGGCATCGGGTGGTCAGGCTTGCTGACTTGGTTGACACATGTTATCAGTTCCCAATTGTGCAGATCGATGCTCATGCTGTTGATCACTGGATTGTTTGGTCCAGACTCGCTTATTTACAGACCGCCACCATATAGCTGGAATATTGCTGAGTGCGGCGTAAAACGCAACTCACTCACTCAACATTCACTGTGTGCCCTACATTCACTATGTGCCCTACATTCACTATGTGCCCTACATTCACTCTTTGCCCTACATTCACTGTGTCCTATGTCCTCTGTGCCCTACATTCACTGTGTGCCATACATGTCCTCTGTGCCCTACATTCACTATGTGCCCTACATTCACTCTTTGCCCTACATTCACTATGTGCCCTCCGTGTCCTAAATTCACTGTGTGCCCCAAATGTCCTGTGCCCTACATTCACTATGTGCCCTCCCTGTCCTCTGTGCCCTACATTCACTGTGTGCCCTACATGTCCTCTGTGCCCTACATTCACTGTTTGCCCTACATTCACTGTGTACCATATATGTCCTCTGTACCCTACATTCACTATGTGCCCTACATTCACTCTTTGCCCTACATTCACTGTGTGCCCTACATGTCCTCTGTGCCCTACATTCACTGTGTGCCCTACATGTCCTCTGTACCCTACATTCACTATGTGCCCTACATTCACTCTTTGCCCTACATTCACTGTGTCCTATTTCCTCTGTGCCCTACATTTACTATGTGCCCTACATGTCCTCTGTACCCTACATTCACTGTGTGCCCTACATGTCCCCTGTACCCTACATTCACTATGTGCCCTACATTCACTCTTTGCCCTACATTCACTGTGTCTTATGTCCTCTGTGCCCTACATTCACTTTGTGCCCTACATGTCCTCTGTGCCCTACATTCACTGTGTGCCCTACATGTCCTCTGTGCCCTACATTCACTATGTCCTATGTCCTCGGTGCCCTTCATTCACTGTGTGCCCTACATGTCTTCTGCGCCATACATTCACTGTGTGCCCTACATGTCCTATGTGCCTTACATTCACTGTGCCCTACATTCATTGTGTGCCCTACATTCACTGTGTGCCCTACATTCACTTTGTACCATACATGTCCTCTGTACCCTACATCCACTATGTGCCCTTCATTCATTGTGTGCCCTACATTCATTGTGTGCCCTACATTCACTGTGTGCCCTACATTCATTGTGTGCCCTACATTCACTGTGTGCCCTACATTCACTGTTTGCCCTACATTCACTGTGTACCATAAATGTCCTCTGTACCCTACATTCACTATGTGCCCTACATGTCCCCTGTACCCTACATTCACTATGTGCCCTACATTCACTCTTTGCCCTACATTCACTCTTTGCCCTACATTGACTGTCTTATGTCCTCTGTGCCCTACATTCACTGTGTGCCCTACATTCACTGTTTGCCCTACATTCACTGTGTACCATAAATGTCCTCTGTACCCTACATTCACTATGTGCCCTACATGTCCCCTGTACCCTACATTCACTATGTGCCCTACATTCACTCTTTGCCCTACATTCACTCTTTGCCCTACATTGACTGTCATGTCCTCTGTGCCCTACATTCACTGTGTGCCCTACATGTCCTCTGTGCCCTACATTCACTATGTGCCCTACATTCACTCTTTGCCCTACATTTACTCTTTGCCCTACATTGACTGTCTTATGTCCTCTGTGCCCTACATTCACTGTGTGCCCTACATGTCCTCTGTGCCCTACATTCACTATGTGCCCTACATTCACTCTTTGCCCTACATTCACTGTGTCCTATGTCCTCTGTGCCCTACATTCACCGAGTGCCCTACATGTCCTCTGTGCCATACATTCACTGTGTGCCCTACATGTCATATGTGCCCTACATTCACTGTGCCCTACATTCACTGTGTGCCCTACATTCACTTTGTACCATACATGTCCTCTGTACTCTACATCCACTATGTGCCCTACATTCATTGTGTGCCCTACATTCATTGTGTGCCCTACATTCACTATGCGCCCTACATTCACTATGTGCCCTACATTCACTATGTGCCCCAAATGTCCTATTGCGAAGTGGAATTGAAAACTAAACTAACTAAAATATGAAGTGTCAAAATGTGCTATTTGGGACACTTAACGTGACTCTCTTGATTAAACTCATGAAATAATTCAAACAATACAAATGGGGAACTAAACGTGAATCTCTTTCAACAATGGGGTAAGTAACTTAATGTGATACCTTAAATTCTATTATCTACACTAATCTATCTTGCTCTATTGCAGTATAAATTCTATTATCTACACTAATCTATCTTGCTCTATTGCAGTATAAATTCTATTATCTACACTAATCTATCTTGCTCTATTGCAGTATAAATTCTATTATCTACACTAATCTATCTTGCTCTATTGCAGTATGAAGTCTATTATGTATAGTATCTAGCTCTATAGCAGCCAGCTGTATGGAACTTTCATTTCAATGCACAAGTACATACAGCTGTCACCCAACTAAACAAACACCCGAACTCAAGCAACATTCAACTGACATCTAAACTAAGGTCAGACCTTAACCCAAGCAAAACCTGAACCAAATTGACCGATTCGATCGTTTCTCACATGGTCAAGAGCATGTGGTCTGACCGCATGTGAAAAGTCATGCTCTTGGGTTTGCTGCGAAGCATGGTGCGTTTACGCGAACTGTTCCAACTGTTTTGTTTCCAGACCATGTCCTCTGTGCCTAACATGTCTTCTGTGCCCCACATGCTCTCTGAGCCCAATATGTCCCCATGTCTTCTGTGCCCCACGTGCTCTGAGATCAACATGTCCCCTGTGCCCCACATTCACTCTGTGCCCCACGTGCTCTGAGATCAACATGTCACCTGTGCTCTACATGTACCCGTGTCTTCTGTGCCCCACGTGTCGTCTGAGATCAACATGTCCCCTGTGCCCCATGTGCTCTGAGATCAACATGTCACCTGTGCCCTACATGTACCCTTGTCTTCTGTGCCCCACGTGTCGTCTGAGATCAACATGTCCCCTGTGCCCCACATTCACTCTGTGCCCCATGTGCTCTGAGATCAACATGTTCCCTGTGCCCTACATGTACCAGTGTCTTCTGGTCCCCACATTCACTCTGTGCCCCATGTGCTCTGAGATCAACATGTTCCCTGTGCCCTACATGTACCAGTGTCTTCTGGTCCCCACATTCACTCTGTGCCCCATGTGCTCTGAGATCAACATGTTCCCTGAGCCCTACATGTACCCGTGTCTTCTGGGCCCCACATTCACTCCGTGCCCCACGTGCTCTGAGATCAACATGTCCCTGTGCCCTACATGTACCCGTGTCTTCTGGGCCCCACATTCACTCCGTGCCCCACATCCTCTGAGATCAACATGTCCCCTGTGCCCTACATGTACCCGTGTCTTCTGGGCCCCACATTCACCTCACAGGCCCCACATCCTCTGAGATCAACATGTCCCCTGTGCCCTACATGTACCTCAGTTGTCTTCTGGGCCCCACATTCACCTGCGCCCCACGTGCTCTGAGATCAACATGTTCCCTGTGCCCTACATGTACCCGTGTCTTCTGGGCCCCACATTCACTCCGTGCCCCACATCCTCTGAGATCAACATGTTCCCTGTGCCCTACATGTACCCGTGTCTTCTGGGCCCCATATTCACTCTGTGCCCCACGTGCTCTGAGATCAACATGTTCCCTGTGCCCTACATGTACCCGTGTCTTCTGGGCCCCACATTCACTCCGTGCCCCACGTGCTCTGAGATCAACATGTCCCTGTGCCCTACATGTACCCACAGTGTCTTCTGGGCCCCACATTCACTCGTGGCCCCACATCCTCTGAGATCAACATGTCCCCTGTGCCCTACATGTACCCGTGTCTTCTGGGCCCCACATTCACTCCTCAAGTGCCCCACATCCTCTGAGATCAACATGTTCACCTGTGCCCTACATGTACCCGTGTCTTCTGGGCCCCACATTCACTCTGTGCCCCCCACATGCTCTGAGATCAACATGTCCCCTGTGCCCTACATGTACCCGTGTCTTCTGGGCCCCACATTCACTCTGTGCCCCACATCCTCTGAGATCAACATGTCCCCTGTGCCCTACATGTACCCGTGTCTTCTGGGCCCCCACATTCACTCCTTGCCCCCACATCTCTGAGATCAACATGTCCCCTGCCCTACATGTACCCGTGTCTTCTGGGCCCCACATTCACTCTGTGCCCCATGTGCTCTGAGATCAACATGTCCCCTGTGCCCTACATGTACCCGTGTCTTCTGGGCCCCACATTCACTCTGTGCCCCACATGCTCTGAGATCAACATGTCCCCTGTGCCCTACATGTACCCGTGTCTTCTGGGCCCCACATTCACTCTGTGCCCCACATGCTCTGAGATCAACATGTCCCTGTGCCCTACATGTACCAGTGTCTTCTGGGCCCCACATTCACTCTGTGCCCCACATGCTCTGAGATCAACATGTTCCCTGTGCCCTACATGTACCCGTGTCTTCTGGGCCCCACATTCACTCCGTGCCCCACGTGCTCTGAGATCAACATGTCCCTGTGCCCTACATGTACCAGTGTCTTCTGGGCCCCACATTCACTCCGTGCCCCACGTGCTCTGAGATCAACATGTCCCTGTGCCCTACATGAACCCGTGTCTTCTGGGCCCCACATTCACTCCATGCCCCATGTGCTCTGAGATCAACATGTTCCCTGTGCCCTACATGTACCCGTGTCTTCTGGGCCCCACATTCACTCTGTGCCCCACGTGCTCTGAGATCAACATGTTCCCTGTGCCCTACATGAACCCGTGTCTTCTGGGCCCCACATTCACTCTGTGCCCCATGTGCTCTGAGATCAACATGTCCCCTGTGCCCTACATGAACCCGTGTCTTCTGGGCCCTACGTTTTCTGAGATCAACATGTCCTCTGTGCCCTACACGTCAACATTTTTTCTGTGCCCCACATGTCTTCTGAGCCCCACGTCACCTGTGCCCCGAAAACCGATGATGTAAAAGTAACCTTACCGCAGCGTCCTGGTCATTCCTGGAGACTCTGAGTGCATCAGTCGCCTCCTGTTCACTGAAGCCCATTTCCAGCAGCTTCTGTAGAGCCTGAAACAGGATGAGGATGGTCAAACATATCAGTCACTTCGCCCATTCAAGGGACATAACTCTGTTACCAGCATGGATCCAGAGAACATGAGATGAGACATGTGTCCCAAGTCCATTCAAAGGCCAAAACTCCATTACCAAAGAACATGAGATGAGACTGGGCTCACAATCTGTCTCAAGTCCATTCAAAGGCCAAAACTCTGTTACCAGACAACATGAGATGAGACTGGGCTCACAATCTGTGCCAAGTCCATTCAAAGGACAAAACTCCGTTACCAGAGAACATGAGATGAGACTGGGCTCACAATGTGTCCCAGGTCCAATCAAAGGACAAAACTCCGTTACCAGAGAACATGAGAGTGGGCTCACAATCTGTCCCCCCCCAGTTATCAGGGACATGACTAAGGGGTAACCTCTAGCAGTCGTGCAAATAAATGATTGTTTATGTAGATTTCTTTGAAAATGTAATTTTTAAAGTAAAATTGCTATTTTTATACTTATCCTGACTCATGATCTTTTGCTTATCTCCCTTTTCCTTGTGAATGGTAGTGGAACACTTGAATCCCTTGAAGTTCCCAAAGCGGACGTAAAAATGCACTCACCCACGAGTTACCTCCCTTTTCCCACGTAAACAGTCATGTGACCAGCCTTACTTGTCACTCTCTCCTGATTTTTCTGCCCAAGCACTTGGATCTGCTGTGCAATTCAAAGTGTTTCCAGCGGGGAGGTCGGGAGGGTTTGACCTCATGAGTCAGGATAAGTATAAAACAATCAATTTTACTTGAAAAATTACATATTTTTTCTTATCCTGACTCATGATCTTTTGCTTATAGATTGGTGGTGGGTCAAGCCACTTCGTGGATTCATCAGCTGTCCTTAGATACGTCCTGTATCCCCCCATGGGAACTGTGTAGCGGCATTTCCGAGATCCTATTCTTCCAACTTCCGTTATAACTCAGGGGGACTACTTCTTGTCTTACTTCAATCTCAGACAAATTGAATCATCTTGATTCATGTGGCTTCAGATAAACTAGTATCTTCTTATTACTAGATATCTTATAACAACCCATAGATTATAAGATCTTTATCATAAATGAGTTGTGACCCCTTCATGTACAGGTAAGATCTTTACCCGTACAGGATCTTTTTAATCACTCATGCTAATCTGTCCTAGACTGTGTGCATGGACTTTCAAACTAATACTTTTCCTTAGTAAAAATGCCTATCAACAAGTCAACGTGATAAAGGGAGATAACTGCTTTAGAACTCAGAGCCTTTGTGGAGTCGAAGCTAGTAGCTGTGCTACAATGAGAGGCCCAAATTGGTGGATGCCTGAGACGTCTTCAGTGGCTATGTCTTGGAGGTAGTGGTTGGCAAACACTGTGTCCAACTGCCAAAAGCAGCCCTCCATAATTGCTGATATAGAGCAATTTCCATGCAGAGCTAGTGTTGATGCTAATGTGTGGATGTATGAGTAGGTTCGGCCAATCTGGTAACTTGATTGTTGGACTTCCGAGATCTTCTATTAGGTCTAGGAAACATACTCTCGCTGGCCAGTATGGCGCGACCAAGGTCAGTTGTAGCGCCTGTGTCTGTCTGGTCTTCAACAGTACTTTCGGTAGTAATATCCGAAGTGGAAACGCATAAGCGTTTAGTCCTTCCCATGATATGTTCAGTGCATCTGTTGCCCAGGTGTGAGGATGTCGAACTGGTGAGACAAACGTCTGTAGTTGTTTGTTGAACCTTGTGGCAAACAGGTTTATGCATGGGGATCATATTTCCCTTATGATGAGCCGAAATGCTTCTGGATTGAGCATATATTCCGTAGGTGAGGGGTGCAGTGGTCGGGTGAGAGCGTCTGCAAACACGTTCTTGGCTCTGGGTATGTGACACGCCTTTGTCCAGATGTTTGCCTCCTCCGTGATGTCAAACAACTGGAATGTGAGCTGTAGTAGGCTTGGTGATCTTGTAGATCCTTGCCGATTTATGGAGAATGCCACTGTAGAGTTGTCCGTGTGGACCATCAGCATTCTGCTGATCAGCGAGCTCGACCATAGTTGTAAGGCGTTGATCACAGCTTTCATCTCCAGCAGATTGATGTGAAAATGCTGCTCTGTTTGGACCACTTCCTTGATGCAACTTTGATTGTTGAGATGTGCACCCCAACCTTGTATCGATTCGTTGTTCGAGATCTGTGTAAAGATGTGTGTCGAAGGCCGGCTCTTGTAAATAGGTCCCTCCGCAGACATTCCACCTGTGGGTCCACCAAAGTAGGTACCTCTTAAGATTGTCTGGCAGCAAGATAGGGTCGACTCTGTCCAGATGTTTTGTTAGGAACCTTTGCAGCGGCCTTAGTTGTAATCTTCCTGTGCAAGTCAAGTCCTGCGCCGAGGTTAGTAGACCGAGTAGACATTGCCATGTCCGCAGTGTTAACGGAGAGATGACTGCTTGTGGAATCATGGCTTGTATCTTGGCCCAATGATCTTCTGGGACCACAATTCTGTGTTGTGATAATTCATATTCCCAGCAATTGAAGATCTTGTTTGATTCTAACTCCAACTTCATCAGGTTCACTAGCCATCCTAATTGCGTGAGCAACTTAATTGTGAAGTTCAGCTGCTGTCTGAGTTGATTGGCACTTTGAAGAACCTGTATGCCGTCGTCCAGATAACCGGCACTGCGTGAGACCTCGATGCTGCAGATAGGTGCAGATAGGCTTGGTTATTTGTATGAATAATCATAGAGCCGACGATTTTCCAAACGGTAGGACGCTCCATTGGAAGTGCTAACCTCTGATTGCAGTGATGATACATCATTCTTCCCCTTATATATGCAGGCAATCTGTGTTGATCAGCATACATCGAAGCGTTGTCTATTTATAGCAAGGCTGGCTCCAGTGTAGCATCGCAGGGGACTTTTATCAGCGACAATTTCCAAAACAAACATCGTTTATCCTGCTGTCAAGGCTAGACATCTATTAGATTCCAATGATGATAACAGGCCGTAGTTGTATACTATTTCCGAGGCTACCGATGAAGTATTCCCCTGTTTGTTTACAAGTCAGTAAACTTGCTGGAGCCTGCTCTGTCAGTGGGAGGCGTTGTCTGACGTGGACCAATCAGCTTCCAAGCATGACGTCACCGGTGTTGTAGCAAGCTGGCCTCCATAAAATCTGATGCAATTAGTTGGTTGAGTAAAAGCGCCCGTAATTCTACGCCGCTCATATAAACCTCTTGAATAAGGGTTGCTCCAAGTGTAAAATCTTGTTCAGTGATATAAATCACTTATTCCCATTGTGGATAATATAAGCCAGCATGACCTAAGGAGGCTGTCGAGACGCATGTCTGTATGGATCTTGAAGAAATACCGATGTTGAATCCTAGTTGATAGGATATAAATTCCTAATCCCCACGCTGAGTGACGAGTTTAATAATATCATCTGTACGTCCGCTCAAGGATACTTGAAGGCATTGTTAACCTTAAGCCCTTTCCAAAGGTCGCCTTTGAGGTTCTCCAGTACTTGAGATATCAGCTTCATAGGTGATATCATATTGAGTTGAAGTCATCAGCGATATGCAGTACAACTCTCTGGGTTGGGTTGGAGTGAGTGAGTCCACAGGCCGCCTGCTAATAAGACCTCAGCATCCGTGATAGATGAAGTGATTCCTATCATCAAGTAGGTTGTCGTCCAAACTGAACCTATACAGGTATAAGGTTTGTGCAGGTTGTAAACTGTAGAGATCGCACATGTTATAGATCTTTTTGTTGAGTTTTAAACTCTGGCAAAACCATCCGTTTTCATCATTGCTTCATTTTATTCAGCCGTATGGTAATAGAGTCGACGTCAACATCCTGCCTGATGATGTAAGGGTTCGCGAACCCTGTAGATGTCTGCATTGCTGTTATCTGCCTGTAGATCTGAGAGTTCTCGAACCTTGTAGATGTCTGTAGCTTTCTCAAAGCTGTGTGTAGGTTAGAAGGTACCTTGGATATAGGTTCAATCAGAGGAATAGTCACCGAGTCAAAGTCATCATCACATCATATAAGTTATTCATCTTTATCCTTAGAAAGAGACTCCTTCAACTCGTTGGCAATCCACGCTGTAACCTCTGAGTCTGGGAAGACCTGTCTGTTTGCAAGTCCAAAGTCTCCTGATTATTAGTGCTTGGTCTCAACGATTCATCCATCTGCGAACATGTATCCCTTCTCGAACCTTCATCATCCTTTCGCGAACCTCCGTCTGAAGATTCCTCCCTATGCTCTCTTCGCGAACCTCTATCTGTAGATACATCACTTCGCGAACCTCTGTGAGGTGAGCTTTCTCCTCCCGAACGTCTATTGTAGGGCGAACTCCTGTGATGTGAGTCATCTCTTCACGAACCTCTGGCTTGAGGTGAGTAACTTCGTGAACGTCTGTGCGAGATATGAGATCTCGACCTAGAGAGGCTAGGTGTAGGAGCTGGATCCTTCGATGATCTCGAACGTTGAGGGTTCGCAGAAGTAGAATTGATCAGTAGGCATCTCATCTCTTCTATCCTCCTCCAAGATGACAGAGTTGTCCAACTGTGGAGACCTTTGCAAAGGTGTACTTTCGCCAACGTAGTCTTGAGACGTAGTTCTCTGAGGTGTAGTTGCAAGAGGAGTCCGATTTTGCACATGATGTCAGTAGCCCGTGGCTTCGCCGAGCCTCGCGTCCCTCAAACCTTGGCGCCACATGGCCATCATCTGGTTGGTGAATTGTCTCATTTTCACCCGGAGCCTTCTGCGTTGATTCCTCCTGTAGAACCTGACCTTGACTGAGTTTGGCTGGCGCTTTTAGCATCTTCCAGCAATTCAGTCATAAATTCCCGGGCTTCACACATTTCTGCATAGGGATTGACGCTGCGCGGTGACGTACATAGAAGCATTCGCGCTAACGCTGATGAGTTGTGTGCCTCAACTTCACTCGCTTGAGAGGTAAGAGGTGGTAGTTCGTCAAACAGCTGTCCTGCTGTGACCGTAGTAGGGGACGATCTAGTAGCAGTAGAAGTCGATTGAGTCGCTGATCTCATAGATACTTCAGTTAGAAGTAATGGGGGATCATCAAAAACGCCTAGTTTGTGAGGAATATCTCTTCGTACAATCTCTTCAGATTTCTTAATAGGTCGCTGACTTCTTCCGATCTGGTAACAGATGCTGTTCTCGTAGATGATGACATCTTTTCTGAGCTTGAGTCGTCGACTGCGCTGTAGACAATCTCTTGGTCCCCGTACCAGGACCCCTTACCAGCTGACTGCCTCATAGCACCAGTGTATTGTGAATTTCAGCAGTAAAAGCATAAAGGCTGATCTCCAGTTTTATCAGCCGTGACTTGAGATGACTTTCTCACCCGATCCATGGCACGCCTATAGATATAAGACAAATATTGATTAAATTGTAGATTTGATAAATCAACACAATAAGTACAGTGCAAGCTGGAAGAACATGGTTTTATGCACGAGAAGGGCATTGGAGGTGAGGATCAGCCACGGATAACCTGTGCCTGCAAACACTGCAAGATTTCATGAAATGTACCAAAACAAAGATGAGGTGAGGTGAGGCGAGGAAATGACACAAATACAAATAAGTTTACAATTTGGGTTTACTATAACTACTATGGAGATAGTAGTTATAGTCAAATCCATATGCATCGTAATTTTGAAGATAGAGACCTAAATATAAAAGGGATATAATGCCATTTTTTAACGCTCTTTTGGTAAGGGACTTCCAGTGCTCCTCTCGCCCTAACCATCCGCTTACATAACGATGAAATTATGAAAAATACAGAGAGTGACAAGTAAAGAAAGTCACCTGACTGGTTTTGAAGAATGGGAAAGGGCAAAAGGGAGGTAACTCGTGGGTGAGTGTATTTATACGTCCGCCTTAACTTCGAACTTCAACTTTCAAGGGATTCAAGTGTTCCACTACCATTTGAAAGGAAAAGGGAGATAAGCAAAAGATCATGAGTCAGGATAAGAAAAAATAAAATATACAGGAAAGGATTTGTGAGAGTAACTCGATGATATATTGCATCAGGATAACTGCTCTAACTGATTCAATGATATGAAACTGTGTACCTGATACATGATGCCAAATAGTGTTACCATAGTTACAAATGTACTACTATATTCATCACCGTTTCAACTCTGCATCTAATCACAAAATCAAGGAAAATCTGAAGCATGAATTTTACAAAAGGTTTGCCTGATTGGCTGTAGGTGATATGACCTTACAACATAAGTCTGTTGAAATCCTGTCCAGTGTCCTGTAAGTTATCGCCATGGTAACCGTGTCCTGATTTGTTGAAGTTGGACTCCTCAAACACTTGAGACTCCAGTCCAGGATTTGATGCGATGCAAATGTGCATCCAGTACGCACAAGTGTAGAGAATGAACGCCAAAAAATCCCACTTCACCACATCCACATCCATCCACTGTACCCACACAACATGTAGGACTTGGTTAGGTGTTTGGTTGTTTCTTTCAAAGCAGTTACTTGCATCATTTCATCCCAGTGTTCAGGAATAGCGTCTGACCCTCTGACAAATCCGGCAGATTCGCCAACGGTCAGACAGAAGTCTACAACCCGCCGGCCCCAGTGTCTGACTGTATATTTCACAATGATTTTGACTGAAGTTGTTATATTTGACATGTGACACTTGTTTGCTGTTTATAAATCTTACGTTTGTTAATAATTTCAATGTCAATTATAAGAAATATTAAATCTGTAATGTATGTTTAATTTTATTCCATGGGTCCTGTGCATTTTCAATGGGTCAGACAGACATCTGAAACTTACAGGACCCAATGTCCTGTGACTTTGAAACACCATTCATGAACACTGTCATCCACCAGCTCACATGATCAATGATTTAATCCAGCTCTAAAGAAATGACCAAAACATACAGTTCTCTACACTGTTCCTCCACACGACCCTCACACTCCCTGCCAGGATAATTAAAAGTAATAACTGGGGGTCCCTGGGATCTCATGTTTGTGTAGTTGAGGTAAAACCCTGCAGCACATAACAAACCAATTCTAAACACTACCAACGTAAGAGTAGTCATGAAGTTAATAAGAGGAGGCCCACTGATATACCAGCCATTGTTGAAAATGGATACCTTATACAGACATGTTGGTGCGTCTGTGTGTGTCAAGGTGACAAATGAGTTACGCAATCACGTTGTTTGGCAGCTTGACTTCTGTGAGTGACCCCTTCCAGTGTTGACGAACCCATAATGAAATATACCACTCCACATTTTGAAAGAATACAATGAAATAACAGAACTGTCTCTATTAAAAACTCAGTAGTATATAAAAAGGAATAAAACCTACAATCACAGGATTCTTGTGGATTTGTGGCACCTCATTCTCTACAGCAAATGGCATTAACCCAGACAATTGTGCCATATGTAGCCTTTTTCCAGGCTGAACAATGTTGTTCAAACATCAGTGAGATCTAATTTTAATGCTGCACTGTTAACATGCTCTTTTCTTAGGGTGTCTTGATCTTTTATACTTACCCTGGCATTTGGACGAAATTCCCTCTTCCTGAAAGCCCGTAGAGATTCGAGAATATTTGTCACTTTAGGAGTTCCATCAGGATTTTCTTTGCCTCCAATAGCTCCCTCAGGCTGAAATTGGCAGAAATAGGTGGAGAAGTTCATCACACTTTGTTCACCAGCTCCAGGTCACCGAAAATATATCACCACATTCAGCTCACCAGAACATAATTAACTACATTCAGCTCACCAGAACCTAGTTCACCAGAACCTCGTTCACCACATTCAGCTCACCAGAACCTAGTTCACCACATTCAGCTCAACAGAACCTAGTTCACCACATTCAGCTCACCAGAACCTAGTTCACCACATTCAGCTCACTAGAACGAACCTAGTTCACCACATACAGCTCACCAGAACCTCATTCACCACACCTTGTTCACCAAAACTAGTTCTTCACATATAGTTCACCAAAACTAGTTCCTCACATATAGTTCACCAAAACTAGTTCTTCACATATAGTTCACCAAAACTAGTTCCTCACATATAGTTCACCAAAACTAGTTCCTCACATATAGTTCACCAAAACTAGTTCTTCACATATAGTTCACCAAAACTAGTTCCTCACATATAGTTCACCAAAACTAGTTCTTCACATATAGTTCACCAAAACTAGTTCCTCACATATAGTTCACCAACCAAGCTCACCAGAGTTCACCACATCACTAGTTCCCTCACATATAGTTCAGTTCACATATAGTTCACCAAACTAGTTCTTCACATATAGTTCACCAAAACTAGTTCCTCACATATAGTTCACCACCAAAACTAGTTCTTCACATATAGTTCACCAAAACTAGTTCCTCACATATAGTTCACCAAAACTAGTTCTTCACATATAGTTCACCAAAACTAGTTCCTCACATATAGTTCACTATGCCAGGTTCCCATACCCATGTAAACATGTAACTCGTAACTCCAAACACCAAACACTGATTTTTTCAACACAGATAACTTCAAAGATTAATACCAACAAATATATTCCTTATCGTAAAATGTACATGCTTCTAAAACACTGGCTGATTATAAGTAAATGACCCAAGCATGTTGCTCCCTCCAACAACATGGAAGTTTGAAGAGTGTACCTGCTCATCTGGAGTCTGGGAGTTGTCTCCTCTTCCCCTGGCAGTGGCGCATCAATGTCAGGGTCGTCTTCATGTTGAAACAACCACTCCATTGCCGGCATCACATTCATCCTAGAGAACATCATACAACACGTGACTGCAGAAACAACCACTCCATTGCCGGCATTACATTCATCCTAGAGAACATCATACAACACGTGACTGCAGAAACAAATTGAACTTTGCAGTACATACTTTTCACAGACTAAAAGTTTAGAGCCTTTATTAGTGTATTCATAAATTGACCAAAGCTTGGCTGAAACAATTTCATTTACTATATGGCATAAGACCCCCGAACAGATTCATGCACAAAACACATCACTTTTTTTTGGGGGGGGGGCGCGTTTCCAAACAGGTGATTGATATTATGAGCAAAGTGTCATGTGATCCGGGTACGATGAAACAACCTCACTACGATGAAACGCCGTCAGCCAGATAAAGCAACCTCACTGTCAACCAACCAGACTCCCACACACTGCCAGTTACCTTTCATCTTGTGGATGCCTGATTGGCTGAGACGGTGAGACAACTGACTTTGTGTGTCAACCAACCAGACTCCCACACACTGCCAGTTAACTTTCATTCTGTGGATGCCTGATTGGCTGAGATGGTCAGACAACTGACTTTGTGTGTCACAGTGACCAAAAAACCAATATGTGCAGATTTCCTGATAAACATGCAAGCTTACTTATTCAGCATCAGTGCTTTTCTTGCTCTCGTCTCCGGAAACCCCATGTCTACCAACTGTTTGAGCGACATGGCATCCACCTGAGTTGGCCGAGGAGGTTCATTGAGAATTTCTGAAAATATCAGCATTTACAAATGTAAACGAAATTAAAAGGACACCTGTTACATTTACTCAATAATCCCATTTTGCAACAAGTAGTTTACTTTGGAACAAACCTACTTAAAATGAATAAGTTTTACGCTGCTTTTAGCAATATTCCAGCAATATCTCGGTGGGGGAACACCAGAAATGGGCTCCACACATTGTACCCAAGTGGGGATTCGAACCCGAGTGTGACAAGCGAACGCTTTAACCACTAGGCCACCCCACCGCTCCTCCTTGTGACAGCAATATATATGAGTGAGTTTCATATCAACTGCCAGCAAAATAACCAGTTACAATGTATTTTTCCCCTGTTCAGAAACATGGATTTTTCATGTGCTCTGTGCTTCATTACTGAGTTTTCTTCTGTGTTCGTATAGTCAACGTTTTATTCCCAATGGAGACAACCATCAATGGCCAACATGTCTCATCACATCCTGACAGTGTGTGAAATAGCCACTGGCCTGCTAGCCCAAGGCTAGTAAAAATCCAGTTGGGCCTGTAAATCTCCACAGTCACTGGCCCGACTGGCTGGTGACTTTTCATGGGGTCATTTTGTAAATATATCACTCTAACAGATTTAAGTGAGATCGACAAGACCTGCAAAAACAGATTTGTTCCAACCTTCAGCTTGCTTGAATATTTTAGCAGCGGCAGGGTTCATGCAGAGGATTCTTTGTGATGCTTCTATCAATGATATCAGGATACGACGTAGCTCGGTCTGGAACTGTACAAAGTCACATGCTCATAATTATCTGATTTATAGGCAGGTGTGGTTAGTTAATTCACCAAAAGGGAAATCAAACAATAACGCGTGAAAAAGTCACAAAGAGCTTCCCTCCCTACTTCTGGAATATCTCAGTCATTCTACAGACATGACGGACACTCATACAAAGTTTCAAAAAGAAGGGAATTACATTAACCAACTTTAATGTCAACACTTAAATAAATTTCAACACTTGCTGATCAACCTGACAATAGATATGACAACAGGCATGACAAAATGTCTGACAACAATGTGAACATGACCTTACGTCTACAGCAGGATCAGACGAGTCATCTGCTGCTTCATATGTGGACTTGGGCACATCTGCTGTCATACGTCTAATGGTGTCCATATCCATATCCTTCTTGCCATCAGCCTGAAACAGTGACATAGCATACACATCACCATTCATACAGCCTGTAGTCTGAACCATCCATACAGCTTGTAGTCTGAACCATCCATACACCCTGTAGTCTGAACCATCCATACAGCCTGTAGTCTGAACCATCCATACATCCTGTAAACTGAACCATCCATACACCCTGTAGTCTGAACCATCCATACAGCCTGTAGTCTGAACCATCCATACAGCCTGTAGTCTGAACCATCCATACAGCTTGTAGTCTGAACCATCCATACAGCCTGTAGTCTGAACCATCCATACAGCTTGTAGTCTGAACCATCCATACAGCCTGTAGTCTGAACCATCCATACAGCCTGTAGTCTGAACCATCCATACAGCCTGTAGTCTGAACCATTCATACAGCCTGTAGTCTGAACCATCCATACAGCCTGTAGTCTGAACCATCCATACAGCCTGTAGTCTGAACCATCCATACAGCCTGTAGTCTGAACCATCCATACAGCCTGTAGTCTGAACCATCCATACAGCCTGAAACAGAGACATAGCATACACATCACAGTTCATACACCCTATAGTCTGAACCATCCATACAGCCTGTAGACTGAACCACCCATACATCCTGTAGACTGAACCATCCATACAGCCTGTAGACTGAACCATCCATACAGCCTGTAGTCTGAACCATCCATACACCCTGTAGTCTGAACCATCCATACACCCTGTAGACTGAACCATCCATACACCCTGTAGAACCATCCATACAGAACCATCCATATATTCTTACCTGTAGTCTGAATATCCATACAGCCTGTAGACTGAACCACCCATACATCCAGACTGAACCATCCATACAGCCTGTAGACTGAACCATCCATACAGCCTGTAGACTGAACCATCCATACACCCTGTAGACTGAACCATCCATACACCCTGTAGACGAACCATCCATATATCCTGTAGACTGAACCACCCATACACCCTGTAGTCTGAACCATCCATACACCCTGTAGACTGAACCATCCATACATCCTGTAAACTGAACCACCCATACATCCTGTAGTTTGAACCATCCATACACCCTGTAGACTGAACCATCCATACACCCTGTAGTCTGAACCACCCATGTAGACGAAACCCATGTAGACTGAACACACCCATCCATACACCCTGTAGTCTGAACCATCCATACACCCTGTAGTAGAACCACCCCTGTAGACGGAACCATCCATACACCCTGTAGACTGAACCACCCATACACCCTGTAAACTGAACCATCCTTACACCCTGTAGACTGAACCATCCATACACCCTGTAGACTGAACCACCCATACACCCTGTAAACTGAACCACCCATACACCCTGTAGACTGAACCATCCATACAGCCTGTAGTCTGAACCATCCATACACCCTGTAGTCTGAACCATCCATACACCCTGTAGTCTGAACCATCCATATAGCCTGTAATCTGAACCATCCATACACCCTGTAGTCTGAACCATCCATATAGCCTGTAATCTGAGCCATCCACACACCCTTTTCTTGCAACCTTCCATACACCTTGCGAACTGACAACCTGTAGACTGAATTATTAATACACCCTGTAAGTATATATTGCCCTAAAATCCAGATTAAGAGGTGACCAACGGGATCTGGTGGTCAAACTCGCTGACTTGGGTGACATATGTCATCGTGTCCCAAATGCACAAATTCATGCAGGTCATTGGATTGTGTGGTTCTGATCTGATTATTCACGGACATTCATTTAACCTTAACATAACTGAGTATGGCATTCAACAACAAACGCACACAAGATTTCTCTCAACATGATGTAGTTCTGAATTGTTTTGGGGGTATTCGGGAATTGTACAACCGGCAAATGAGTAATCTCCATTCAGAAATTTACAGTAATGTAGCTTTTCATTGCTTTGTGGTACCTGCAATGAAACTAGTGTCCAATGTTTGGCATACCAGCTAATAAGGAATACATGGCCTTTGGAATGTAATGTATCCCATTACCAGATAATGATGATACCTGATGATGATTGATAGGGGTGTCACGATACACCAATCTCACGATACGATACGTATCACGATTTTAAGGTCACGATACGATACGTATCGCGATACATAATTTTCGCGCCTTTTCATAGCATTACCTTACCGGCAACGTACGCGCGCGCTGACTGGTCCATCAAAATAGTCTAGCCAATCACAAAAGCTGTTAGTTTCCAACCTATTTTTTTAAAGTAAAGCTAGCTACATCTATTTATCGAAGCGGTCTCGGATAATTTTACTATCAAGACTTTGAAGGAGATGGATACAGCATAAAAATTTGAATCGATAAAGTTTTAAAATAGGAATCGATACACGCAAGCATGTATAGTGTATTGTATCGTCAGTAAAAATGTATCGATGCATCGATACATTTGCGTATCGCGACACCCCTAATGATTAATAAGAGACATGACATTTGTCATAAACCTGTAAGCAGGCAACTTTGCCTGCTGAAGGCGCTTCAACATAATCAGAGGATAATATAGAAAACATACACAGTGAGTTTAGAAGAGTCAGTAATAAGTGCTCTTGAAAAGATTACTTTTCCAATAAGATTTGAACGCTATCAGAGAACCAGAAAGTTTAACGTTGTCCGACAGAGAATTCCAGAGACATGGAGCTGCATGGAGGACTAATTGTTTGCCGGATGAAGCTAAGTAGATCTTGCGGACCAACTGATCCAGACACCTAGATGTTTCACAAGTGTGGAAAACATCTGTCTATTCTCTCTATAATCCCTTTTCAGGTGATTACACATATCAGGCACAAAGTCAGGCATACATGTAAACAAAACCCACCTTGGCCTTCTCAGGTCCATCAAAGGGAGATGGTGGAAGTCGCCTTTTCAAAAGAAGCAGCTCATCTGAAAAAGACAACAACCATGTTTAGGCCTTCCACCACAAACCATCAACCTTCCACTCCCCATTCCAATAATACCCACTGGGCCATTGAGGTGTAAAGAGATTTCATCCCCCATCTCATCATAATATTCATCATTCAGGATGATAGTCAGTTGCATGATGGCTGATGTAGCAGCCATAACATGTTGGTGTCCCATGATGAGATTTGAATCCCAGACCTTCAAGTCTGGTGAACTGTACTCATGACCAAAGACGTTAACAAAGTCAGCAAGCTGACAGCACGGTTTTATCTGGCACACTAAACTAGCCCCTAAACTCGCAATCAGTTTAATGGGAACAACTACCTATGGTTTTGTTTTTTTTGTTGCGGAATATGGACTTGTCCCCCGTTTAGCGTACCAGGTATGTTTATGCATTTTGACTTTGTTTAGGGTACATTTCTGTATATAGAAACTGTACCTGGAGTACATGTATAGCTGAGAGCACTAGCCCTGACTGGGTCCTATACAGTGAAGTCATGACCCTGCATCGCGGCTCTCAGCTGATATCTGCAGTACCTGGGTTGTTGTGTGTGGTCCTGTGTGTAGAGCTCAGGTCACAAATCAGTTGAACTTAGCAACATCGAGCGCGAGGACTCCTTTACTCCTGAGAGTGTCTAGGACTTCAGTCCTGCCCCACAATGAAGCACATGTGATACATGTGCTCTCACCTTAAGCAAGTGAGTTTGTTCAAATTTGCCTCTGTTCACTCAGCAGAAAATGTGTACGAGGTGAAATAAGTCGTGACTATTAACCTTCTAGTGCCTCACAGGCAGCTTGAGTTATCCGGGGTAATAATAATCAGATTCTGATTACAGCGTCCAGTGAGCAACTAGTCAGATGGATACTTGGGGCTATATAAATGAATTATTATGTTTTACAGATTAAAGATAGTATGCAGCAGAGTGGCTTCAGGTGATCCTGGCACAGTCAGGCTGGTAAGGCTCATCATCAGCTCAGGGCCCTTGCCCCCTCTACACGCAGCCCAGACAGCGAATGGGACTTCTCCCAGGAAACGCTGCCTAGTCGAACCCACCAAGAACTTTCCGGAGAATATGAAGGCTCCCCAACACTGCAGCCTTCTGCATTACCCAGAGTGTCAGAAGGGCTGTACTCCCGGTGGAGAACCCGGGCACTCTCCTGATCTGCGCCAAGAGTTCAAGAGGTACCAAACCAAGGGCACCGAGAACAATGGGGAGCCTGACGACAGTGTCCTTGGGATGCAAGCGAGACATTTCAAAGGCGAGGTCTGCATATTTAGCATGCTTTTCCTGAATCTTGCCAATCACGTTGCTGTCAAAAGGGACAGAAAATTCACTGATATAAATAAATTAATTGGCTTGATCAAATAGGACAATATCAAGTTTGTTGGCAGGAATTCTTCTGAGGCTGTATATGGGCCTATTCCACAGAAGTTTCCCATGACGCCCTGGACATGTTCAGGGCCGTACCATGGATGGACCTCGGAGTCAAAGCCACAGGCATGTCGTTTAAGGTATGCTGTTTGTGCCAAGGAAGGGCATCCACTGATAAGGTGTTGGACAGTCTCTGTAAATTCATTGCAAAGTCGACATTTCATATTGATATTTTCGTAGTAGTAGTAGTAGTAGTAGTAGTAGTAGTAGTAATAGTAGTAGTACAACGACCCCTTCAATAAGGCTAAGTCCTATTTTGTGCATAACCTGTAGGCGAATTCGTACCGTTGATCTGTAACCTCACCATTATCCCTGACACCTTCCTGCGCCAGACTCCGTTCTTCATCAAGCACTTTACCAGATCTTACATGTACCAGTTTATGGTACAGTGAAGTTTTCATGCTCTCGGCTGGGTTGAAGAAATGACTTAGCGACATGATTTTCACTTTATCTACACTCCATTCTGGATGAAGGTCGGCCAAATAATCCCTTCCATCTAAACTTGTAATTCGCACCTTCATGTTGGAAGGAGGAAAGAGGATTGAGTCTGAAACAACCATTTAGGCAGGCATTAATTCGTTATTTCGCCGAATTTTGACAGAATTAAAGTTGACAAGTTACAACGATATCATTCTGGGCGAGCGACATCTTGTGCGAACTTGGCTCCTGATTATCAAAGGCTTGTGTTTAATTAAGTTCGAGCGCAGCCGCATATAAGAAGCGATACCAGTTAAATCAAGCGATGAGCTCATAACAAAGGGAAGTCACTCTCAACTGAAGTCATTTGCATCATTGCGCCCCACTAGGGAAATTTAACAAACTGGCTGTAGTTAATAGGTCATATGCATGTCGTTTATATGCATAAAACGAAAATATAAAATGTTTGTTCTCGCTATAACGAGGCGGGTGGCTTCACACGTACATTGTACATACACGTATGTACGATTGCTAATGTTTAAAATATATTAAGTTAGTGGCATGTTTTACAATTGTTCATACGATAATCGAGAAAAGAGCGGATGTTCTTCAGCGTCCGAAAACGCAAAAGGCACGAGGACACAATCACGGTTAACAAAACGTGGATGTAGTTGTCGCACTAAATGTCCAGCATCTTACAGGGATGTCTGCTCTCGTTCAACCAACTCAGGAAAGAAAACTGAAATACAGTATATAGCCAACTTTATAATAATAAGTTATTTTCTATACTTCTTTTTAGTAGCGCCCAGTCTCCAAACAACAAGTGATTGCTCGCGACGCTTAATCAGAATCTGCCTGCTAGGCGCTAGAAGGTTGTAGTCACATTACCGAGTACCCATCGAGACTAGGAAATGACCCCTCACACCAGGTTGCTACTTTAACACTTGAATTAAAACATAGACCCGCCACCCTCCACCATCCTCCACACCCGCTTGTTCTGTTAATGGACAAGCTACAGCTGTAAAGCCTTTCCAATGTGTCGTGGGTGAGTTTTATGCCGATGATATGCATTTCGGTACTTTATGTCTTGGCTGAGTACTGTTGTGAGCTTTCACTGAAGGAAGAATATTCGCCGAGTGGTACACAATTACTAGACATGCTACGACTGGTTTACTTGAACAAGGGCGAATCCGTCACGTGTCACCACGTTTGCAGCTCATTAGTTTCACTGTTGTGTAGTTTTATGATTCTTAAAATAAATGTTAACAGTACTGAAGGAGTTGCCTCCCTTACACCATTACCACACAAGAGCTGAGCCTTTAAAGTTCTGAATAAACATCTCCCTCTCTCTGGAGCATCTCTCTCTCTTGACTCTCTCTCTCTCTCTCTCTCTCTCTCTCTCTCTCTCTCTCTCTCTCTCTCTCTCTCTCTCTCACACACACACACAGACTATTGAGGGGGAACATTACGTTAGCGATAGTCTGTAGCAACATACTATTTCGATAGCGACAGTCTAATGAGACCAACTATTGCAATACTGTTGCAGTAGTTTTTGTCTCCTTGAATTGCTCCATTTGAAGTCATTTCCAAATGAATGTATGCTTTATATGAAATAAAAACAAGTTGAAGTACAATGTATATTGATAACTTACAAATAAAACTCATTGAAGCTGCAATTCTGCACCAAACATCCATGCAACGATAGTTTTTCGTTACTACCAAGAGATAGGGAGAGAAAGAGAGAGAGAGGAGGGGGGTGGGGGTACTTACTGTGTACATAAATCGGAGGGGGCATTCACATACATACATGCTCCTCCACAAAACTCATCATCACATCATAACAACAACGGTCCCTAAAGACTGTGTTAAAATATGTAGCTGTCCCCCTTCACCCAGACGTTCGTTTATTTTGTTAAACGCCGTACTCAGCAATATTCAAGCTGTAAGTAATCGAGTCTGGACCAGACAATCCAGTGATTGATATGCTGAGCACCAGATCATGCATCAACGAAGTCAGCGATTTTTAGCGATGAGAACATTTTGAAAGAGATATGTATGGATGAAAGATTCTTGTCAAAGAAAACAATGATGTTGATAATTGTATCAATATTCCATCTTTGACACTGGGTGATCGTTTTAATGTAAATAGAATTATTGGTATCACCGTTTTATGTGCTAACAACAAATCTGTTTGTAACGGAGGGAACTAGGTGGGAGGGAGGGAGGGAGGGAGGAAGAAGCCTAGAGGTTACAGCGTTTGTTCCACACCCAACACCCGGGTTATTGTTATGGAATATTGCTAAAAGCGTCGTAAAACCCAACTCACTCACTCAATACAAGGGGTGTCAATGACAGCTTGTCAGCACGATCATTTATAAAATGCAGATCTAGCTGGGCATTATATTTTGAAATTAAAATTAAATTTTGTCTACCCAACTGATACAAGGTACTGGGCTCTGGAAGAGCATTACAGTCTTAGTAATGTATTTGCAAACATCAAGCAAACACAAGACAGACTATACACTGTTATTTGGTGGATCCTTTTCCACATATTAATTATTTTGTCCCTAATCCAACTCAAATAGCCCGTATCTACTGTACATTATAGAATTTCATAATAAGGTATTTCATTTCATTTAGAAGTTGGACTAGTAAGGTAGGATTTTGTTATCCTTCCGAATTTTGTAATGTTTTAAATAGTACCGGTACACTATTGTGACAAAGAAAGCCTGTTTTTGTAAAGCCTTGGGAGAAAAGATTCCTTGACAAAACAAATTACATATATCTCATGCAAATGCATGTTGGTTTATGTTTTGTGTTAATATACTCAACGAAATTAGAAACATGACGGCGACATTATTGGTAATAACTTTGAGGGGTAATTGCATGCACATGGCACTAGGAGGGACGGTGGGGTAGCCTAGTGGTTAAAGCGTTCACTCGTCACGCCGAACACCCGGGTTCGATTCCCCACATGGGTACAATGTGTGAAGCCCATTTCTGGTGTCCCCCGCCATGATAGTGCTGTACTATTGCTAAAAGCGACGTAAACCATACTCACTCACTCACTCACGACACTGGGAGGTTGGAATTTTGATCACAATCTTGGGACCAACGCGAAATGTGTGGTCATGAAGCGTGAAATACAACAATCACGTGCAATGGTATGCAAGCAAACAGATACTGATACCAGGAAAACGCAAGACTGACTGACTGACTGAGTTTGGTTTTACGCCGTTTTTAGCAATATTCCAGCAATATCACGGCGGGGGACACCAGAAATGGGCTTCACTTATTGTACCCATGTGGGGATTCGAACCCGGGGTCTTCGGCGTGACGAGCCAACGCTTTAACCACTAGACTACCCCACCGCCCCGGAAAACGCAAGAGTAGCCGAAACGTGAGAATGCCGCAACTCACAAACCAGCAACGTGAGCGTGTCATTGGCTTGGCTTAATGCTGGACCATCCGGTGTGCAGCGGTTGCCATGGTTATCGTCGTAAGTCTCGTAAGACAAGTAGGTCACGGCACTTCGCGAGACCTTAGTACTTCCCATGACAATCAACGTTCCATACCTTTACGAATGGTCTCATGGTTGTCAGTTGACAGTAAGGAACCGATAATCCTTGCAGGAATAACAAATGTCCGATCTAACCATCCCCAAATTAGCCAACTATTACGACAGTCAACAGCTGTGACAGCCAAGCATGGTTGTACACTTGGTCCGGTCTAGTAAAGTCATATTTGACGGTTGCGCAATTTGGAATCAGAACTGGTTCTTGAATATACGCTTGTGACCGGAAATCTGATGCCTAGAGGAAGTAAGCTGGGCATCGCCTCGCATATCGCAAGTTGGCGCGCGCAAAGGGAACTAGGAACCAACTTTAATTAGTACCGGAAGTAGCGCCTCACATGACTTGCAGGCCGTGTACAGTCTGAGAACCCGTGTACGCCAGAATCAACCAGAGGCAGTGGAACAGGATTGTCTTCAGTGGCGAGTTGCGCTCCACATTGGCCGATGACGATACGGGCGTGGGAAGGGGAACGTCACGCAATGTTGTGTTCGTGAGCTGGTAGCGTAATGGTAGCCTAATGGCTTGAAGAGAATTTTCTGCCAACTTTGGATCTCAAGTGGTCCAGGTTAATCATACATTTTATCCCAGTCTTGCCATGCAGCGCATGACCCTCTGGACTGGCACTTCAACAAGACAGCGCTACACCCCATACATCAGTTCTGACGCGCAAAGTCTTACCTGGCGCCGATGTTGATATCAAGTCTGACCTTCCTATTTGTGATATCATAAACTAGTATGTTCTGATGATATCATAGTGATTTTATTCCTATCACTAAACCCTCATTATACACTATTATATATATATATATATATATATATATATATATATACGCTCGGTAGAATTGGCTGATTTCAAATACGTGTTACAGTTTATGAAAGAACTTCTATCAATAACTATGAAGTAGTTGTAATGACAATATCATGAGACCTAGATAAGCTGGTCGGAGTGATCTCCCTTGAATGTATGCCGCGTACACCTCTCACTGAAAAAAGAGTCATCGCCCACGTGAGCCTCGTCCATCACATGGTGTCGGAAGAAATTAAGGATGGAAAAATTAAACCCACCTCTCGCATTGAATTTGCAAGGCAACCTAGCAGAGAATTGGGGACGTTTCAAAATGCAGTTTGACATTTACAGCGCAGCAAGTGGCCTTGGTGAGAAAGACGAGAAAATTCGAGCGAACACGTTGTTGCATGTGCTCGGACCGGAAGCGCCGGACATTTACAATACTTTCACGTGGACTGAAGCAGACGATGCGACAAAGGTAGCAAAGATTTATGAGAAGTTTGAATGTTATTGTAATCCAAGAAAGAATGTTACATACGAAAGACATTAAATTCAACACCAGAAACCAAGTGCTGTGTGAGGGTATTGACAATTATGTGACAGACCTACTGAATATGAGTGTGGGACATTACATGACTCACTTATCAGGGATCGCATTGTTTGTGGGATTTTCAGTGACCACGTGAGAGGCAGACTGTTACGGGAAGCTGATTTAACACTAGTCAAAGCAATAGACATTTGTAGGACTGCTGAAACAAGCAATAGACAGCTGACAGAAATGGCTGAATCAGAGAAGCCAGTGCATGTAGTATCACAGAGGAAGGGAACAAGTAAACAGAGTGACATACATGTGAAGATGGAACAGAAACAGAACAGAGGAATAC